CTCCCCTCCTCCCCTCCTCCCCTCTCCGCCTCCTCCCCCTCCCCGCCTCCTGCCCGCTTCCCCCTAACCCCAGCGACATGACGGACGCCGCACATCCCGACCCCGCGCGCCGCCGCGCTGTCGCAGCCGAGATCCGCGCCGCATGCCTCAACCAAGGCTTCTTCTATCGTGCTACATGTACGCAGCAGCGCTCACGCCAGTCAAGAACCACGGGGTTTCGCGGGACGTCGTAGACGCCGCTTTTGGCCAGTCGCATGCGTTCTTTGGTTTGGGAGAGGAGGTGAAGCGGTCGGTGAGTAGCCTCTGCATCTCCCGCTGGCTCAGCCTCCGTCACCCGCCTCTCCTCCCGCCCCACCACCTCCCCAACTCTCCTCACCACCCCACCCCCTCCCCCCATTAACTCCAGATCGACATATCCAAGTCGTCCAATTTTCGCGGGTTCATGGCGCTGCAGACCGAGTCGCATGACTCCACGGGCAAGGGGGATTACCATGAGGCATTCAATCTCGGCCTCGACCCGTCGCTTGCGCCAGACAGTATGGGCGTGGGGAGGGATAGCAAGCTGCAGCACGGGGAGAACCTCTGGCCCGAGGCTGAGATGTGGGACGGCGCAGCCCAGTTCGTGAGTCCTCCTCCTCCCTTCCTCTCCCTCTCTGACACACAGAAATCAGCCACGCTCGCATATTACTCCGCGATTCTCGCGCTCGGCCAACGCCTCTTCCCACTCATCGCGCTCGCGCTCGACCTCCCCGAAGACTTTTTCAGCGACAAGATTCAGCACCCGGCGGCGATTATGCGCCTGCTCTTCTATCCTGCGCTCGGCGCCGCCGAGCCCATCCCGGGTATCGGGGCACACACCGACTTTGAGTGCTTCACGATCTTGAAGCAGGACGACGTGCCCGCGCTCCAAGTCGCGAACCGCCGCGGCGAGTGGCTCGACGCGCCGTGTATCCCCGACACTTTTGTCGTGAATATCGGCGACCAGCTCGCGCGGTGGACGAGTGAGTGGCGCGGGGCAAGACTGTGCTGACGCCAGACGACATCTTCGTGTCTACGCGCCACCGCGTGCTAGCCACCCCCGATAGAGACCGGTACTCGATCCCGTTCTTCTTCGGGTGCGACCACGACGTGGTCATGCACCCGATTCCGACGTGTGTCAGCGCCGACCGGCCCAACCGGTACGAGGTGATGACGGCGGGAGACTATGTGCATCAGCGCTTGAGCGAGGTGTACGCGGCGGGGTTGAAGGGGCCGGAAGGGGCGGAGAAGGTTGAGGCGAAGTAGTCATGAGCAGAGTGCGATAAGGATGCACTTTGGTAATTATCTCGAGGCTGAATGAAATGCGCCCAGTTTGACTCTGGCGGCCTACACACCACCCAACATGGGCGACTCAGGACGTGTGGCGTCGTCAGCAGCTGAATGGATGGCCTGGTGCGTTTGCACCTGGGGCGTCTAGAAGGGCCTCGGCGCCAAGGGCTGCGCCGCTGCACCGCTGCGCCGCTCATGGCGTCGTACACAGCTACACACGCAAGAACAGACTTCTGATGTACTGTATATCCTCTGCCATGTCTACAAGGGCGTGTTCGTACACCAACCGTACCAACCCAAGTATGCAGCTCTCCTCGTTCCTGGCCCATGCATGCCACATGGCCTGATTGAGAGGTCGAAACGGCCAGGGGCGTGAGGCTAGCGCGTCCCGGCGGGGAGGAGGGAGCTGGGCCAGGTGCGCGGCGCCAGTGGACGGGGAGGTTGCACTCGAGCATCAAGCATCGAGCGTCGCGCGCTCGAGCAGAGCAGTCGCCCATGACATTGACTAACGGTCCAGCTGAAAAAGAGGCTCAGATTTCGTAATGCCCATCCCCGAGCTCAGGCACCTCCACCCTCCAGACCATCCACCGCACACGCCCCAAGTCAATCTTGCACTCGGTCTCGTCTCCGTCTTCCGTCCAGTTCTCGACGCGTCCAACTCGTCTCTTTCCACTCTCCCACTCCTTCTTGCTTCTGCAAGGCTAGCCTGCTCGGCATCAGGCCCTGACCCCCTCCTCCCGCCCATCGCCCCCACCGCCGACGCCGCCACCACCGCCGAAACCACCTCTCCCGGCCTCGAGCACACAATGGACAAGTTGTTCCGGTAAGCTCACGGACTTGCCCCGCTGACGCCAGCAAGCGCACCGCCGCAAAGACCGGGCGGAAGGGGCGCGCAAAGGCCGAGCCGCTGCCGCCCATGCCCGTCGCGCCGAGCCTCAACATTGACATCCGCAATTCGCTCATCATGCCCAGGTGAGTGCACGGCGAAGATGAGGAGAGCGCCCTCGAGCCCTTCAGTCCTCCCCCCTCTGTTCTCCTGTCATCCACATCACTATATACCTGCTTGCTGGCACCCCCCGCGCATCCGCACCGACAACCCGCCCGCCGACGCCTTCCCATTCCGCACCCAAGCACCCCCTGACGCCCAGCATGACCGAGCGCTTCTCGGTCCTCCTGCCGAGCATGACAGCCGCCCCAGAGAACTCCCTCCGCTCCCTGCTTGAGCAGCAGCGCGCACGCGGCCAAGGCCCTAGCTTGACACGCGAAGAAGAAGACATGCTGCTCGCCGAGCTGCAAGCGCAGAACCGCCCGCGCGCAGCATCCAACGTCAGCTCAGAGTGGGACGGGAACCCACCCCACTTCGACGCCGAGTGGATGCACGGCAACCACTCGCAGAGCGCGCTCCGCAGCTCGTCCTCCAACCCCTCGCTGTTCAGCGAGAGCTCGTCTCCGAACAAGGGCATGTCGCCGAGCTCGAGCGCGTACGGCCAGCCCCTCGGCGGGTCCATCATGGACCGCACGTTTACGCGCTCGTACGGCTTCACCGGCGCCGCCAGCTTTCGCGACAACAACTACCTGCGCTCAGTCGAGAAGGAAAAGGAAAAGAAGCGGGGGCACAGTGGCGACGATCATCCGACGTGGGAGGATCCGAACAAGTCGCCCTCATACCGCGGCAAGGCACTGCCTCCTGTTCCGCGACCGGACGCGTTCAAAGGCGCCGCAACCCTCCACCCGGACACGGCGCAGGCGTCCTCGCCGGCCCCCTCAGAGCGGACCGTCACCCCCACACCCAGCGTGCAGAGCCCAAGTGCAAACGCAAGCGCGGGTGCAGGCACGAGCACGTTGTCTCATGCAGCATGGAGGATTCCGAGACCGGAGGACCAGCCGCCAACCGTGCACGTGGAGGAGGCGGGCGACGAGCCGGTCGGGACGACGTCGACATTGCGCCAGCGGCCCGTCGACCCGCGGCGCGGACAGCGCCAGTCTTTGCTGATGAACATGAGTCCACAGCAGGCCAAGCGCATATCCGTCGCTCTGCTCGAGATTGAGACGCACCTGAGGCGATCGACAGTGATGGACGGCGCGCGTTGGGAGGACCACGGCGACGAACATCACGACGATGAAGAGGAGATGCTGGATGGAGATCACGACGAGGACGAGCAGCAGCGGCGCCCATCCGTGTCTTCGGCCGGCGGCTCTTCCGTGTTTCCATTCACGGCTTCGCCTGCGTCAACGTCGCAACAGGCCTTTAGCTCGTCGCAGACCGACATCACACGAGAGGAGTCGACCTCTCCTCCGCGTCCCGCCGACTCGCCCCGCTTCAACGTCCCTGCCCGAGTCGGTACCCCGCCGTCTGTTCCCGAACCACATCCTTCCCTCTCGCATCTCTCCTCTCCTCCGCGCTCGCACGCGGGCGGAATCGCCTCGCCACCTTCGCAGCCCGCCTCGCAGTTTGCGTCTCCCACCTCCCCGTCATCAGTGCAGCAGCTCAGCCGGATACAGACAGGCAGCACGAACTACGGCCACGCGCACAACAGCTCGATCGCGTCGACTTCGTACAGCGAAGACGACTACGCGCGGCCCGCACTCGTGCCCACCCGCCCACAGCCGGCGCGGTACACGCCGTCACCGGCGTTCGGCGCTTCATCCACTTACGTTCCCGGGCAGCCCCGCCCCGTCGGCGGCATGCGACACGCTTCGCTCTCATCCAAAGCCTCTACGACATCGCCGCCCAACTCGCAGTCTCCGGGCGCCGTCGACTCGCTCGCCAAGCGCCTCAACTACCCCGCCGTCCCCGGGGCGCGTTCCCAGATGCCCAGCCTTTCCCGCTCAATGTCGGAACAGAACAATGCGCTCTCACAAAACACCTCGCGCTCCCACACCCCAACGCTCAACCCAGCATCGCCAGAACATGTGCCGGCGCCCGGCGCGCTGGCGTCCAGGCATCAGGCGAGCCAGAGCCTCGGCGAGACATATGGCGGCTCGTGGCGCAATGGCTCATCACCCGCCCTCCACTCGCCCCCGTCGCAGGTCACGATCAACGAGGAGCCAGCGACACACCGCTCCGCGGCGCAGACTCCTTCGCTCCAGTCGAGGGAACAGTCACCGATCATGTCTAAAAAGAACTCGCCGACGACTCACTCGCCCAGCGTCAACAGCCTCAACTCACGCCGCGCCGAGTCCATCGTGTCCGTCAGCTCGACATGGACAGGGCCGAATACGGAGGACAATGTGTGGGACCGTGTGTTGAACGGCGCACACACGCCTCAGGCAGAGCCGCCGTCGACGGTAGAAGAGGAGACTGCGGAGCTCGAGCTGCTCAAGTCAATGAGCGGCATGGGCAAGGAGGAGCTGTCGCTCATCCAGAACCGCCTTGTCGAGAAGGCTAAGAGCGAGCGCGACCGCCTGCGCGCGGAAGGAGAAACGACGCCTGTCACCACACCCATCACGACGCACCCCAATCTCCTCCCCTCCACACCTCCAAGCTACTTGGCTTACCTGCCTACCGACGGCACAACCGAAGAGCCGCAGTCACCACTCGCAGCTCTCGCCATGCTCCCAGGCCACATCCCAGGCATGCCCCCTCAGCCCGTTGACCCGTCTGAGCTGCCGCAAGGCCCTCCCCCGCCTCGCCCGGCCCACCCATCTGACACCACCCGCACGCACGCCTCCACACCATCCCTGCCGCCGTCGCAGAACCAGTCACCGACCAAAGCCGGGCACGGCCGCGGCGACTCGAAGGCGCGCGTGTGGCTTGACGACGACCCCGAGGCCAAAAGAGACATCGAGAAGCGGATAGCGAATGCGACCTCGAGCCTGTTCCGAGCGCCGTCGCGCACGGCTCACAAGCGCTCCCTCTCCAAGAGCGCGCGCAAGCAGATCTCCTCGCCGACCCTCGTGTCGTACTCATCCACCGTCCCGACTGTGCCCATCGCCAACGTTGAGGACAGCTCACACAAACGCAACGGCTCGGCCGATAACAAGCCAAAGCACAAGCTCAGCCTCCGGTGGAAGCGCAAGGGCAAGAAGAGCGCAGACGGCACCCCGCCCCCGCCGTCGTCGCTGCCGACCAAGTTCGCCACGCCGAGCACCGCGCAGGGCTCGGCAGCCGACACGCCCGCAAGTGAAGCCTCCGCTACGCAGACGCTCAACAGCCCCACGCCGGCGCCGAGAAAGCGGAGCGACGCCGACCTCAACGGCTTCCGCTTCCCCAACACGCCGTCGTCCACCAGCGTTAACAGGGCGGTCCAGGAGCCGAGCACTGAAAAGCAAAGTAACGAGGCGACACGGGCGCCTCCGTCCACTCAGGCTTCGCACACCCCGACGCGCTCGCTGCCGACCGTCGCCCAGGTCGTCGAGTTGTCGAAGAAGACGCACAGGCCCACGGGATCAGAGGACACGGTCGCGATCGCCAAGTTCTTCGAGGCGGGACGCGCGGTCGGCCTGAGCGAGGCCCAACTGCAAGACATGCTGCAGCAGAATGCGTCTCTTAACCGCTCTGGCACATCGACGAGCTCGCCGTCGCACGAGGCCACTGCGCCGACGTCGTCGCAGTCGCCGCAGCCGGGCTCCCCGCCCGCTGGCACCGTGCACCTCGGCAACGGCGTCAAGCTGCAGCCGCCGTCTTCGCTCGCCAGAATGCCCACGCCGGTGGTCGACAAGACAGACGCGGCGAGCGTGCACTCTGTGCGCGCGTCGAGCGACGTTGCTGAGCCCGAGCAGCCCGTGGTCGTGCGCCACACCGTCATCATGGCCGAGGACATGGACGCGCAGATGCTGCCGCAGTCGAACTTCCTCCAGCCCCAGCGTCCAGAGAAGTCGCCGACGCGCTCCAACTCGATTCGGCGGAAACCCGTACAGATGACCGACGAAGACCGCGACCTGCTGAACCGGTCTCCCAAGTCGTCCTACGCCCCGAGTGCCTCGTCATACACGGCCTCGCACACAAGCTACGTCCCGACGCACCAGCGTCACCTCTCGAACGCGAGCTATGCAAGCCAAAGCCAGGCGCGCCGGAGCTTTGCGCACCAGCGCCACCAGTCCGGCCAGAGCTTCACCTCCCAGGGCCAGAACTACGCGTCCGAGTCGCAGCCCCGCCAGAGCATGGACGCGGCGCACCAGCGCACGCTGTCGCAGCAGAGCGCGGGCTCGGACTGGGCCCTCCCGCCCCGCCACTTCGACGGCGCGTACGACGGCATGCCCGACTCGGCGGGGTCCGTGCGCTCGTCTGCCCAGGGCAGCATATACGACTATTACGGCGGCGACGGCTTGAGTCCTGACCGCGCGGCCTTCCCCTCGTACCGCAACTCGGGGGTAGGGAGCGTCGGCCGCGCCAGCGGCTACGGGTATGGGTATGCGCCGTCGCGTGACTCGGGCATGGAACGGCCGTCGATGACACAGGAGCGGCCAAGCATGTCGATGGAACGGCCGAGCATGGCGATGGAGCGCCCAAGCATGGGTGTCAACCGCTCGTCGCAAGCCGTGGAGATCACGTGAGTTGCGCATAGGACCCGCTGACAACAGGGAATACTCTGACGGCCGCGTCGTCTGGAACCTCGTGAACGCGTTGCGCGACGACGCGCCGCGCCCCTCGCTCGACGTGGACCCGTTGCGCCCATTCGCCCGCGGTGCCGCGATGCGCGATTCGATCGCAGAGAGCGTCACCGAGTCGCTTATAGAAGAGGACTTGCCGTGGCGCGTCGGCCCCACCCCCACCCCGGCATTTATGCGCCGCCCCGACACGCGCGTGTACTACACGTCGTCGGCGGACGTCGCGGACCTGATCGACCAGCTGTCGTCGGACCTCGCGGGCGCCGCGCGCGGCCGCATCGACATCCGGCCCACCTCGCCCGGCGGCACGCATTACGACGAGTACCCGAGCATCGCGGGGCGGCTTGACGCGCCGCTCGAGCCGTACGCGCATGCGCCTGTGCAGGGGCATGTGGAGGGGCACGCGCAAGGGTACGCGCAAGGGCCAGGACAAGGGCAGGAGCAAGAGCATGTGCGAGGGCACGCGCAGGGGCTGCACGAAGCCGAGCCCGGCCAGTTCTCGAACGCGCCGAGCCCGCTCAACGTCCCGCCGAAGCGCGACGCCTCGCTGCTCGGCCCCGACGCGCAGCAGGCGCAGGCGGCACACGCCGCGTTCCAGAGCGGCATGGGCGGGAGCTGGACCGGGTCAGACGCCAGCGCGCACGGCGAGAGCGTCCAAGACCGCTTGCAGGCGCTCATGGACCGGCTGCGGAGCGCGCCGGGCGGCGTGGGGCGCGCGGCCGCGCGCCAGTAGATGCGGGGCGTGTATGTTTGTACTAGCATGAATAGTGTGAGGGTATGTCGGGTTTGTGGGGTGGGCGAGGCGTATGTAGATGAGGCGCAAATGGGGCGCGAGAATGAGCGAGGGCGATGGGCGCTTGCGCATCGCCTCTACGCAGACTGCCCACGATTGTTTGACCCTGTGTACGTGGGCGCATCGTACGGCAGCGTCGAATTGTGATTCTTGATGTAACACAATTGTAGCATTCCGGACTCCACATCAGTGAGCTGCATCGCTGACCTCCAGATAGATCACTCGGCACACTTGCCCACTCCCTAGCGAAGCAATATCCTTAACATCCCTTCCATAATCTATTATACATTCACGCCTCGACAAACGCGCGGAACGCCTCAGTGTCCTGCTTCGCCTGCCACTTGAACTCGACGCCGGCGCCCATGAAGATGACGTCGCCGCGGGCCACAGGGATCGAGCCCGAGCCCTCCCACTTGACGAGCGCCTCGCCGTTCGTGATGATGGCGATGCTCGGCCCGTCGATGGGACGGTGCGTAGTCAGCTCGTCCTTGGCGAGGTGCACCCGCAGGACCGAGAACTCCTCGATCGGGGGGTCGTAGATGAGCGTCGCGGGGTCACGGTTGAACTCAGTCGGCTGCAGCTTCTGCTTCTCTGCTGGCCCAGCCTCGTACGTGAGCATGTCGACGAGCGTCGGCACGTCCCGCAGCTTGGGAGTGAGGCCCGCGCGCACGACATTGTCAGATGTCGCCATGCACTCGATAATGTCTGGGGTTAGGCGTGGGGATCACGGTTGAAAGGAGGGCGCGCACTCACCTCCGTGAATGTATGCATGCGGCACGTTGGCGCCCAGGAAGACAGCTTGCCCCGTCTCCAGATCGATCACGTTAAGCAGGAACACACACAGCGTCCCAACGTCGGCAGGGTACTGCTCGTTGAGGGTGAGGACGAGCTCGCGTAGGGGCTCCTCAGACTCTGCCACTTTGCCCGACTTGTAGCGGTTGACGAGCTTCTCAATAGCGCCCTCGTACTGCTCCTTCTTGGCGTGCATGACGGCGGAGAAGACAGTTCTGATCGCATCCTTCTGGGCGTCGTTGGGGTCCTCGAATGGCCCCTGCGCTGCCTTGGCGACAGCATCGCCCGATGTCGAGAGGTTGAGCGACTTGGCCAGCTTGTCAATGGCGTCCTGAGGCACGACATCTCTCAACTCTGGAACGTTGACCAGGTGCTGCAACAGCACTGGAGGTGGGACAAAGTTGAGGAAGGCGCGGAACGGCGAGAGCGCGATTGCCATCTCGGGCTTGTGGTTGGGGTCTGCTGTCAGCGGGAGTAAGGAATATGCCACCGGGCGCCGCACTCCGTCGTACGAGCAGGGCGCAACTTGACACAGCTTGGGGCGGCTGGCGCGCAGGAAGCTGACACCACTCCAGCTGTCACTCACCCTTGTAGATATCAGGCTTCTGTTTGTAGAGCTGGCTCGCGAGCTTCTTGTCTGGGTGCGCCTGAATGCTAAGAGCGGTGCCGATGGAAAGCACCTTGAAGAGGAACGGCAGGGCTCCCTCTCTTGTGTCTGGGAACTTCTGCGCGACATTGTTACCAATGAGCTCGGGGTGCGCTGCCAGGTGTTCGCTCAACAAACCGGTGCCAGTGCGAGAAGGATTCGACGGGTGCGTGCCCATCCAGAGCTAGAGTCAGCACTGTCACCAACTTGAGAAGGGGTATGTCACCGCAGTGTATGTCACCGAGGTGTTTGGATCGCTTCTCGCAACGGGTGCTGAGAAGAAGGAGAAAGCTTACCTCGGCGTATGGCTTGTCCTGTTGGATTTGGAAGTCTGGGACAGACTCGAGGGCGAACTGGGCGGCGAGCGACGAGGAGCCGCGCTTACCCCAGTCGTACGAGTTGATGCCCGGGGCGATTTTGAAGGCGGAGGGAGGAGACATGGTGTGGGTGGTTGATGGTAGATGGTGGATGGGAGTGTGGAGTGTGGAGAGAAGAGGAGAGCGATGGAGATGGCGATGGAGATGGAGATGTGAGATGGGGCGAGTTGAGAGCCCAAGTGAAGAGGAGCGGAGATGAGAGTAGATGAGAAGAGATGAGAGATGATGAGGACGTCAGAGGCTTCAACGTGTCGTCGCGTTCCAAATGCCCCTTCCTTCCTTGACTCTCAAATGACGCCCTTCCCTGGATCCTTGATTACCCGCGTTTACTCCCGTCTCGGCCCTTCCCCTGCCGCCGGTATCGGTCTCCATCCATCTCCAGACCCTGAAACCTAACTCTCCATTTTCCCAGAGCTACGGTCGTCTCCGACCAAAGCACAGAGTCTGACACGCCCGCTCGGACTGCAGCTTGTGGCGGCTTGTCGCCTCCGCTTCCCTGCCAGTCGCGCTGTTTCGCTGCCACTTGCGGTTGGTCGCGAGAGGCGTCGACAGACAGCGCCGGGATGATGATCGGAGGCGAGGTGGCTGGCGGCGGGAGCACGGCCCGGCTCAAGGGAGCGAAGATCGCTCAGGCCTCAGGGTGCTCGTACTCTCATCTTGACAACAATGCACATCTCAGCGATCTCAGCGCAGAGTTGCCATAATCCGTAGCAAGAGGATATTACCTCGACACTGGTCCACCTACGCGCTGGGAACAGGACAGTCGACGAATCTGGCCAGTGGACGAACGAGGGTATCATCCACGCGCAGGCATCGGCCCGTTTGCGAGATCAGGCCGAAAGAATGAGCCGACTCCGTATCTCAATCAACCTGGCAAAGCTACGACAGGATCACGTTCGGGTCGAACCAAAACTCCTGCCCCGGCACAAGGTTGGCTAACGGGTCTGCGCCGTTTTGAAGCATCCCCATGAAGAACGCGTCCTGATAGTTAGCATCCTTCATTTCCCCTTCCGCCCAAACACAACATACCAGGTCCAGCGATGCGCCAGCATTGGCAGGGTTCTCAGGCGGCGGCACCTCGCTCGGCGGCAGCGCGTGCTCCTCCTCTGACGAGAGGAGCACCAGCTGCAGCCGCTGCATAAAGCGGCCCACATAACCCATGACCGTCTCCCCATCGCCGAGCGTCGCACTGTCGCAGCACTTGGAGAGGCGGCTGACATAGCCCGTCACAACGCGGCGTTGGTAGTGCGGGAGGCGCGAGAAGAGCTGATGTCAGCTCCGCATACCTTTCGGACTCACGTTGTACACCATTACGCCAAAGCTGGATATGTGAGTCGCGCTCGTATCTTGCAGATATCGCAGGGTATTCCGCATTCCCAGCGCCTCAGTTTGCAGCGTAAACAACTCTGCCAGGTGGAGCCAGTCGATGAGCATCGCATCGCGCTCGTACGGCGCACAGAGGTCCAACATGTGCCATTTGATCTTGAGCAGGTGATTCAGGTCGAACCATTTGAGGTAGACCTGCTCGAACTCGGTGATCTTGCCGGTGGCTAGGGTTGGCTAGGGCTCATGTGGACCAGGTCAAGCAATAGAGAACTCACCAGGATCCGGGGGGAACCATCGTTTCATATGCTGTTCAATCTGGGCATACAGCTCTGTGAGAATCGCCCACGCCAAGTCTTGCGACATCGTGGCGAGGTTGCGGCGATACTTGACCCACATCCTATAGGTTGAAGCGGAGGAAAAGGAGCACGCGTGACGCATGTCGCCGCACCCAAGGCATGCCGTCTCCTCGGCCCAGGGGAAAGCATCGGGGATCTCCTCAAGCTTGACCGTCGGCGGGAGCGAGTATACATCCGAGTAAAGCCTGTCAAATGCTGGTATGAGCTGGCGCGGGCAATGAACAACCCACAAGAAAGAGTATACCATGTCCGCTCTTGGTTGGCAACCTTGCGGGCCTCGAGCTCTGTCAGTGGCAGCGGCCCATTCCGCGGGATGTGCATGCCAAGTTGGTATCCCAAACGGATGCCAATCCCAAGTTTGACCCAGCTGCTGGCGTCGGTGGGATCTTTCCAGTACACAAGGAGGATGAGGCTCTGGATGAGACCAATGTCGCACTGACCTACGCCGACGGCGCGATCAATCACGGAGTTGGCGTGAGATAACAAGGCGCGGTAGAGGTGTTTGCGGAAGAACTTGGCCGAGATCGCCAGAAGGGAGGAAAGGAGAACAGGGCTCACGGAGCGTAAATACTGCAACGTGTAGAGGTAGGGGTCGAGGGTCGCCGTCATGGGGTTCAGATGTTGCATGTATCTGTTGTCAGTTTGTGCACATGCGTGCGAAAGCTCACAAAGTGAGGAGCGTCTCGGCCTCGTGTATGGTCACCAGGCCGAGGGTTACTTCTGTCAGCTCCCAGCATCTCGGACAGTTGGACCTACTAGGATTCTCGCCGTCGTCCACTTCCTGCGGCTGAAGTTCTGGTGGCGCGTCGCTTCCGTTTACATCTCGCGGTAGCTGTGGGTCGAGATACTCTCGAATGTCGGTGCGCTTGGACGCGCACGCGGCGACTGACGAAGACGACTCGGAGGGCGTGGAGAAGCGAACGCTCGACTCTGACATGACGTCGCGGTGGTGATGGGCAGGGCGATGCGCATGGCGTTGAAGGTGAGGTGGGCGGTCGTGAGGTTTGGGATGGGAACGGGAGCGAGGGAGGACAGAGGGATGTGGCAGCTGAGGAGGCGCGGGAGGAAGGTGGACAGCTTGCGGCTCGCGACGCGGCGGATTGCGATGCTCTGGCTGCGGTGGAGGGGGATGCGAGTCTCCACGGGGTGCAATGACCGGCTTCGGCGCCGGCGAGGGACGGACGGGCGAGGCTGCGGCAGAGTCTGTTCGCCGGCGTCGCTTGCGTTCGTAAACACACTCAAGGTTGAGCCTCTGACAGCGTTGGCAGGGTGAAACTTGGTCTTCGTTTCCCAGGCATCGCGTCTGCGTCAACACGTCCGCTGATAGGACTCACTTTGATTTTCCGGCACCCCATGCACGCGAGAAGGTGGCGCTGATGCCTCTTGCGGTGTGGCGGAAGCTCGCTGCCCGAGTACGAGTCAGCGTCGCCGTTGCTCGTGCCCGCGGCGTCCATTGTGGTTAGTGTAAATAGAAGAGGAAGATTCGGCGGGTTCCGCTTTCCTGACACGTCATTTGCGGATCACCCCCAGCCCGCCAACATCTGAGCGATAGCGCCGAGGAGGGAAGCGATGGCTACCGCCTACGTGCGAGCAGCTTGTGGGACCTGGCGATGCCAGAGGGAGTTGATAAGCCACCAAGACCGGTTGGTCAGCGCAAAGGCCGACATGTTGAGCGCTGCCGGAATGACGATCGGATGTCTGTGCACATGGGGTGAGGAAGACATGCCGCAGAGCGGTGTCAGCTACATCCTCATCACTTCCGTGGACCTCGGTCTGCAGCTTGTTGCCTGGCGCCCGGTCCTATCTTCGACATGCAGCGTACAGATCCGGATATGGAGCGGAACACGGCAAGCTCTCCGAGATTGCAGACGTTATCGGCGCTGCCGAACCTCGGCGTCGGTCTTGCACAAGACCGGTACGTCGATCCTCCGAAGGAAGTTTGAGGACCACGAAAACACGTGGAACTCACGTATTTTCCACGTGTTAATTCCCGAATTTCCGCGCCGTGGCGGAGCCTGCTGCGTTTTTGCTGTTCATTGTCCGCCGCCGTCAACGCCTCGACCGCTGCCGCCGTCAGCATCAACATCCACCTCCCCTTCACCTCCCCCCCACCACAAAAGACGCCAATATGACGTCCATGGCTGCCGCGATTGCGGCCTCGCTTCCGGCGCAGGTTGCGCCGACACCCGCCCCCGCCCCCGCCCCGGCCAAGGTTCCCGCGCGCATGGAGGGCTTCCTTGACGTTGAGGCTGCGCGCGAGGTCGAGAGCGTCAAGCTCAACTCGCTTGTGCGTCGCCGCTGGTCCCGGAGAATGCGAACTAACGCCTAGGCCTTCCTCAAGATCTCGAAGCACTCGACGGACACGCTGCCGCAGCCCCCTGCGCACTCGTTCCAGCAGGACAGGCAGGCGCCTCCTCACACCAATCTCTCGTCGCACCCCGACGCGATGGGCATCCTGCTTGGTCTTGATCTTGACGGTGTCATGGAGGTTGAGGACTGCTTCGCGCTCCCCGGCGGCGAGACCAGCCTCGGTGGTGAGTGTCGCATTGGGTGGCAAGAATCGAGGAGCTCAGAACTCGGAGTGCTCACACCAGCTGCCTCTTACTCCACTCGTCTGCTCAACCACCTCCGCGAGGTGCAGACTCCCGACTCGCCTGTCGGTGTTTACCTGTCGACGCACAACGGCGGCTTCATCACGCGTGGTGCCGTTGACCTTCTCGTGGCCGTGGAAAAGGCCGCCGGGCGCGGCAAGGCCATCCTTGTCATCCACGACGCGTCCAAGGCTGCCACGTCCGGTGACCTCAGCGTCAAGGCGTACAAGCTGAGCGAGGGCGCCCGCGCTGCTGCCAAGGACGGCAAGTGGGACGCAAGTGCGCTCCAGGAGAACAAGATCACCGCCTCCACCATGCTCACCTTCCTCCCCGTGACGATCACGAGCTCGTCGCTCGTGTCCGCGTTCCTCGCGACCCTCACAACCCCCGCGACCGAGACCCGCCCGACTCTCGCTGCCCCCGCCGTTCCCCTCCCGCCCACGTTCGCCCCCCTCGTCAACCCCCTGCCAACCACCCTCCCCGGCAACTTGAGCAACACGCTCGACGGTCTCCAGCTCTACTCGCACGAGGCCAACAACCTCGCGTTCATGAACCGCCAGCTGCAGCGTGAGAAGGCCAAGCACGAGAGCATGGTCAAAGACCGCGAGGAGGAGAACGCGCGCCGCCGCAAGGCCGGCCAGGCCGAGCTCCCAATCATCTCGTCTGAGTTCCGCTCCGCCACCAAGGAGCACTCGCGGTTGGAGATGCTGTGCCTCCAGGGCCAGGTCGACGGGCTCGCCAAGAGCATGGGCGCCGAGGCTGGCAAGGGCCTGGTGAGGTGTTACCTGTAGACTGCATGTAGATGCATAGTGGCTGTTGTTTCGTACCGCCGGAGAGCAGCGTGGATGGATCAGATGGCCATATGGCAGATGGCCTGATGGCAGATGGACAGGGACTGCATTGTTCGCGTGGTGCCCGGATGGCCGCCACTTGGTATAGCCGGTGGAGGTGGTCAGTTGGCAGTCACCTATACCCGAACGTGTCGCTGTTCTTTCCCCCCATCTCTCTCTCTCTTCTCTTCCCTTCATCCACTTTCCATCCTCGACATGGCGCCGTTCTGTAAGCTAGACCGTCTCCGCTTTCCTAACAGCAGTACAATGGGTCGGCCCCGTTATCGTCGCGGCGCACCTCCAGCTGATCAGGTACCTGGTGCGCACGCACTACAACGCCCTTCCCCTCGCAGCCCATAAACTCGAGGTTTACGCCTCTTTGGCTGCTGTGAGCGTGCTCTCGTCCGCGGCGTTCTCGTTCATTCCGCCCGCCAAGCGGCCCAAGGAGTCAATCCACCTCTTCTTTGCGGCCTACGCTGCCGCCTTCCCCGCGCTCGCGCGCAGTGGACGCTGGATCGCCGAGTTGGCTGGCGAACTGGGGCCTGAGTGGGGCGCCGTAGTTACCCAGGTGGTGCTGTGTGCACCTGTTGTTGCTTTGCTTTTCCCCGTGAGTCCACTGATCTGATGTCAATGGAGTTTGGTCGGCTGACAACAGTTCTGCACACCGCCTGTGACACGCCAGGGCGCCGCGCGGCCTTTCGTGGCGCTCTGCGCCGCTGCTATTCCCGTCAGCCTGCTCGCATGGGTTAGCGACATCATGGAGAACAACCTTTTCTTCGCTGGTGCGCTCGCTGACGAGCCGGAGCTTGGCGTAAGTTCTGGACGGTAGCTCGGCTAACGACAGATGCTCGGCATTTGCATGATGGTCAACGCTCTTTCCGTCATTTACCTCTGGATCCCCGAGCCGGACGCGCAGCCGGCCGGTGTGGTCGACTCGGGATTGAAGGGCCTGGACAAGACTGACAAGGACGAGAAGACGAAGGCGACTACGAAGCAGGACAAGAAGGCCGAGAAGGCCGAGAAGAAGGCCAAGAAGGCTCTTCAGGAGGCGAAGGACGCGCAGCCACCCACCGACCGGCCTGTGGCGCATGCGTACCCCACCCGCCGTCGTCCCTCTCCCCTCGCTCTTGGTCTTCGCGCTCTGCCCCTCTTGACGGCGTTCGCTGGCTTTGCGATGTACAAGCAGGCTCCATTTGCCGAGGACGGTGTGCGTATCCACAAGTCTGTGGCGAGCGTCACCGGCCGCATTGTCGTTGGTGACAACGTGGGACAGGGCTACCGCTTCCTTCGTAACGACAAGACACTCATCGGTGGCGTTTGGATTCGCGACAACAGCGACCCCACTGGCCTTAGCGCTGAGCTCGGTGACAGTGTCTTCGCTGCCATGCCGCTGCAGGAGATTGGCCTGTTGGCACGCACGCCGAAGAAGGACGACAAGGTCTTGGTTCTCGGCCTTGGCGCCGGAATCGGGGCTAGCTACTACAACAAGCGTGGGCTCGACGTTACTGTCGTCGAGGTGGACCCTGCTGTCGCGGACGCCGCCAAGGACTACTTTGGCCTCCCGGACGTCAACATTGAGGTTGAGGACGGCGCGCTCTGGGTGCACCACAAGGCGAACGAGAGCACGCGGTACGCGTACATCGTGCACGACGTATTCAGCGCGGGCGGCATGCCGGCGCACCTGTTCACGAAGGAGTTCTGGTCAGAAGCCCGCAGCCTGCTGACGGATGACGGTGTCATCGTCATGAACATTGCTGGGCCGGTACACGGCCCGCTGACGCGTCGGATTGTCGCGACGCTCGTCAGCGAGATCCCGCAGTGCCGCGCGTTCTCGGACGCGTTCAAGCAGTCGGCGAAGGACAGCAAGGTCAAGAACTTTGTGAGTTTCGCCAAAGAAGAAGCTGACGCCAGGTGTTTGTCTGCTCGCCTGCCGGTGTGCCCCAGTTCCGCAAGGCGACCAAAGCGGACACGCTGGGCTCGGCCAGCCGCGCAGACGTGTACGGCGCATTCGAGAAGAACGAGGTGCCCCTCGCCGAGTTCCTCAAGACGGAGAACGAGGCCGAGCTCGAGGAGAATGTGATCCTGCGCCGCGGCGAGAAGCGCGAGGGCAAGTGGGACATCGAGCTTGCGAATGATGTGTGGGAGAGCGTGCGCAGCCGTGAGTCGAGTTGTTGATATGACGGACTGACGCCAGTCATGCCACCCGCTCTTTGGGTCGCGTACTAATTGATGTCGGAGAACGGGGAGGAAAGAAGTGGAGTCGCGGAGTCGTGGAGTCGTGGAGAGCTGTTGTCGCAGATGCCATCTACCCCATAGTCCATTGCCAATGCACATAAAATACATCTCGTTACTCCGAGTCGCTCCCGCTCGCGTCTGAGCCCTGCGCGCCGAACCCGATCCCGCCCGCGGCATTGATCTCAGCAATAGCAGTCGCGACGGCACCCTTTCCGCGCCCGCGCTTCCTCTTCTTCTTCCTCCGCCCCTCGTCGTCTCCCGCCTCTTCCTTCTCCCTCTCCTCCTCCTCCTCCTTCTCCTCTGCTTTCCGCTTCTTCCCCACCTCGGGCTCCTTCACCTTTTTCTTCTTTACACTAAGCGGATTAGGTCCCTTGACTTTACGCCGCCGCCCCTCCTCCGGTGCGGCGCCGGCACCGAGGACATTCGCGCCGTCCACCACGCCGTCGAGGAGCTTGGCGCCCGCGCTCCGCTTCTCCTCCTCGGCGGCATTCTTCGCGCGCACCGTCGCCGTCGACGGCGGAGAGAGGACGAGCACCCCACGCGCGTTGTAGTGCATCACGGGCAGGCCGGGGGTGGTGCTGAGTTTCGCGATCAGCGGCTGGCTCTGCACTGCCAACACGTAGCGGTGCTTGTTCGTGTCGCCTGGGGGTCAGTGTGCGTCACATTAGCCGAAGCGGCCTATAGCCCGCCCACATCCGGCCTTGCCTCGCCTAGCCGAGTACTCACCAACCATGTCCTTCAAACAGTCCCCTGGTGCAACCGCTTCACGGTGGTTACACTTGCGGCGCTCGGCGCGCTTCGCCATGTCGACGACGTGCTGAAACTCTCTGCCTTTGCGATACAGCGCCTCGATGCAGCACTGCGTGATCACTGGTGTGAGCGGTGGTCGGGGCACAGAGGCCGAAGAAGTTCATGCTATACCTCCCCGCCCAGCCTTGCCTCTCTCCCTCACTCCACGTCTGCCCACTCACTCGGCTTCACCTCGCCCTGCACCGTCGTCCCGAGCATCTTCCACCAGTCGACGTCCTTCTGCTTGGCGGCCTCGAGGAGGAAGTCGTCGCCGAGCAAGACCTGGTACGGGGTGCGGAACCCGAATGTGCCGACATACAGCGCCATAACGCGCTTGTACGCCTTTGCGCGCTTTTGCCGCATGGTGTTGTTGGTGGGGGTGGTGTGTAGTGTGGTGTGGTGTGGTGAGGATGGTGATGATGCCGAGATGAGATGAGTGCAGGTAGTGGCCAACTTTTGCGGCACGTGACGAGATTAAGCGAGGTTCTTCCGGCCACTGAACAGTGGAGGGCGTGAGAACGAGATGGTTCTGGGGCGTGGACGAAGCCGAGTGAGATCTCAAGAGTAGTGCGTGGGCCGTGGGATACAGAGAGTAGTCGCGCTATGCGCGCCCAAGCATCGTAGCGCGTTCGACACGCCCTTGCCGCGCTACTCTACAGCACACAATCTACGGACGGCCCAGGCGGCCAACGGCCAGCGAGACACGTTAAACGTGTCTCGAAGGGCGGGATCTCGCCGCCCGGAATCAGCCACGAAGCCACTCAGCTGGTGGCCAAGTACAGTATTCCACAGGAGATCTGGGCTATGTAGCCTCTGTTACGATGTGACTGAGACTGACAAGCAGCAAGCTCGAGGGAGGAGTAGTGAATGGAGTGAGAGAGCCTCGACGGCCGAGCGGAAGTGTAATACCCACAGTTGTATGGGAGAATTAGGGACCCTGCTGTAACCCAGGGCGCCCGAGGGCCGAGGGCGGAGGGAGGGCGCAGCGTTGCCAAGGCACGGTCAGGTGGCAGGTGGCGGGCTCCCTTCTCCCAAGGGCCCTTGGCAGCGGCGCTGCGGTGTGGTGGCTTTGCTTCCACCTTCCTCGTCGCCGCCTCCTGTACACCTCGTGACTCTCTCACTCTCTCTCTCATCTCCATCTCTTCATTCACAACATCTTCATTCTCCTCAAGAGTCTCTCCCCCCACCCCCCTCCCACAGCCCTGTCTCGCCACGGCATCCGCCGACAATGGCCCCGGCGCTCATAATAGTCGCCGCGGCCGGCCTCGCCGCGATCGCATCCGCGCAGCAGCCAGGCTCATCATGGCAGTATCCCGTCTTCTTCAACTACACCATCGCCGACACCTCGGCCATGTGGTCCTACTTTCCCGCGCCCACTAACGACGACAACTCGCGCTATACCTGGAACGACACCTTTTCAGGCTCAAACTGGACAACGTACGAGTACGGGCAGGCCGGCATTGGCGAGTCGGGCAAGTTTGCCAATGGCTCGGCAAGTCCAAGCCTTTTCCTCAACTTTCCCCTCACGAGCTTTGATCTGCTCGGCGATGTGCGTGGGCTCAATTACTCAGAGTCCATCGCGCCGCTGCAGATGATCATCGACTCGCGTACTCCCATGAACTGCACTCCAACGCCGGGCGTCATCTGTTCCGCCACCAATCTCATCTGGGCCTTCCACAAGATCCAGGTCTCCCTTTACTCGGGGAACTGGACGGTGCGTGGCATTCGCGTTACAACAGGAGCAGCGATTAAGCAGTGAGTTCTGCGCCATTCTGCGGATCTGTCGGGCGTCTTGAGAGCGAGCACGCTGACCCCTTTAGTGAAAAGCTCCAAGACACAAAGATCGACATTGAGCCCTTCGTCTACGACAATGGCACACTCAACTCCTTCTACAACTTTACCGGCGACTGGAAGGTGTGGAACAAGCTCGGCGGCGGCGGTGAGTCACCCACGTCTAAATGCGCTGATGCACAGGCAACCAACAGCCTATTAACTTTACTTCGCTGGTGGGCGAGAACGGTGCCAGGGTCAACATGACCGTGCCGCCTCGTACGGCCTGGATTGTTATCAATGGCACAGTGCGCCCGGACAGCGACGAGTTCCGTCTTGACTGGGACCCGCTGCCGCCCCTCGCCGACTCGCAGATGCTCTTCTCCGCCTACAACTCGTGGCAAGCCCCGTCGATGCTGTATGCCGCGCCGCTTGACCCAGAGACCAACTACAGCGTTGGCATCACGACATACGAAAACTGGGACAACAACCCGGTAAATGGCACGTCGCTGGGTTTGACCAGCGTGACCTTTTACAACGAACGAGAGTGAGTGGCACGATCGCTGCTTGGGCCAGGGGCGTCGTCGCTTACTTGCAGCAAACCAATCATGCCAGGCCAGAAGGAGCCGGAAAAAAGCAACAAGACTGCACTTATCGGTGGCGTAGTCGGTGGTGTGGGCGGAGCTGCGATCATCATCGCGCTGTTGATATGGTGGTTGTGTGCACGGAAACGCAAGGACAAGAAGGGAAAGAGGCCGCAGCCTATGCCCAAGGAGGTGTCGTCATCCAACTTTGAGGTCGATGAGGACCCGTATATCGAGCTCAACGATCTGGGTGCGGCGCGTCCAGTGCCATATGTCACCCCTTCCCCCGCGCCCACTCCACCGGTTAACGGCGTGGCTGAGCCGGTGGCGAACGGAGGCAGCGCTCTGCGCAAGGCTGCGATGCTGGCCGCTGCATCCGGGTCAGGACACACCCCACTGCTTGGCAACGAGTCGGCTCCGCCACTATCTCCCATCGATCCGACCCCACAACACTCCACTCTCCCATCCCCCTCAGGCCTCCGGACGACACATACCTTGCCGAGCCCAGGTGGGATCTCGCCGATCTCACCAACATCAATGGCGCCTAGCCCTGGCGGGACACTGCTCCCAGGCGGAACGCTGCACCCTAGTGGGACGCTCCTCGCTGGCGGGACGATGGGTCCGCACCTGACAGGCATGACGGGTTTAACGGGCATGACGGGCATTGGCACGCATAATAACGAGCCAGTACACCCTATTGCGGCGGAACTCAAGCATGGGACCGCGCTGCAGCGGCAGCAAACGCAGCGGCAGGTTGCGCAGGAAGAGGACGGCGGTGCGGTGGACGAGTATGAGCTCGTTCCGCCAGTGTACAACCCGGCGTGGGCAGAACAGCGGCGTCCGACTCCTGCTCGAAGCGGATTCGGTGGACCCAATCTCGGCGCCGACCCAGACGGCGTGCCTCTCTCCCCCACCCATCGTGCTCCGCCTCCGGCGCTGTCGGTGATTACATCGGCGCCGTACATCTCGGTATCGAGCTCTGGGTCGCCCAGGACCACGCCGACGACAGCGACACCCACTCCGCACACGGCGCACGGCTCGCACATTCCCTCGCCCCTCTCCACGGTCTCGCATTCGTCACTGCACCACCCGCCGCTTTCGGCGACGTCGACGCACCCGCCATCCTCGCCGCTGGCCATGACCTCGCGCCTCGTGCCCAGTGACTACTCGCACGAGTCATACGACCGGCAGTCGAGCGAGTATGTGGGCTACGACTCGCCGCCAGACGGCTACCGCGACGAGCGATGAGGGCAGTATGGATTCTCGGCCGTTGTAATTTGTATCGAGCTTGGCTTGGCGCCGGCGCTAGGTTATTGGGACGGACATAATGGAATGCATCGTGTCCAGAGTAAGAGTATGAGAATGCGAGCTGCGGGAATCAAGCACGCGTAATGTCCAACGTAATGGCCCAGCGCGTCGGGATCAAATAACGTAAGGGATCGCGCGGGGACGCGTCTCGCCCTGGACCCGAGCTTGTGGCCTGCGCGCACCTTGTCCATCTCGACCTCGCCATCTCTGTGGACAACAACAATCTCTCTCTCACACCCTCGCCATCCTCCAACATGTACGCACCGTCACAGTCCCCGCTGACTCCAGGCCGCTCCCCATCGAGCGCTCACAGGGCAACGTAAGTCCTGACCACTGCTTCAGACAGTCGGGGTGGTGTTGAGGGGACTCCGCGCGCCGGTCATCTTCGCGGACCGCGGGGTCGTTCTCACGCTGGATGGCACGATGCCGTCTTCCTTGACTGGCATGTCGTCCATCGCATCGCATCTCCGCGCGCCTCATTGCCTCTAGAGCACACACCTCGCCGCCCCCCTCACCCCCCCACCTCGGCCCTCCCTACCGCCCGCGCATCGCCCCCTCCTCTTGCTCAACACCCCCCGCCCCTTCACTCCCACCCTCGTGCCCCACCCCAGTTCCCATCACTCTTCCTATCCCTCTCCTCCCCTCTTCCCTCTCCCACCCTTCCCCTGTCTGTCGTCTCGCTCACCCAAGGTCGCCTCCCTCGTGTCCCGCTTCCAGATCGCGGCGACGCGCGATGCCACTCCCCGTCGCCCAAGCTCGAGCTCAGGCCGCCGAGTAAGCGGCTGGGCCGAAAGCGACGACGCTCCCCCTTCCCACACTTCCCCTCCCCAAACTTCGCCCTCCAACACAACCCCCCACATTCCCTCGCAGCCCGAGTCGACGCTCGAGCTCTCTCCCAAGCCCGCTCCCCCGCCCCCTCCTGTCGTGAGCGTCGTGCCAGAGCCCGAGCTGGAGCCGGCAAAGCCTTCCGAGCCTACCTCCATCAAGAGCAGAGAGAAGGCAAAGGTCACAAAGGTTCGTCCCAAGGTCCTCAAGGAGGCGCCGAGTGAGAACCACGTCACGCCAAAGGCACACCACAAAGACCCCACGGATCACAAAGAGCACAATGACCATCCCAAGGACCTCAAGAACGCCAGGGGCTCCGAGCTGAAGGACCGCAACGGCAAGCCCCTCCCGCGGCCCAGCAAGCCGCCTGGCTCGGTGTCGCCGGCCCCGCCCCGCGCTCTGAAGCCTAGACAGAGCATGCCGAAGCTGAAGAGCCCAAACTTGGGCCCGTCCGAGCGTCCGCAGCCGCTCCCAAAGCAGCGTACCGGACCGCCCGTCGTCTCCCAGGCCACCGGTAGCAGCTCGGGTAGTGGGAGCAGCGGCAGCCCTGGCAAGCCCACGGCCAGCAGCTTGGCTAAGATGCGTCCACGCTCAAGTCTCGGTGCCACGTCCACCCCTGTTGTTAAGTCTCCCACGCCGACGGGACGGCGTCCGCGCCACTCGACCCCGGCGGCAGTCCCGGCTGTGGTAAAGACGCCGCCCTCTGCGCCCAGTGCGTCCACGTCTCGGCTGCTGCAGGGCACCGCGGCGAGCCGCGCTCGTGCAGCTGCTGTACAGGCGACGCAGACTCCCACCAAGCGGTCTTCCAGCGCTGGCCCGAAGAACGCTCCTCTCAAGAGCAGTACCAGCAGCAGCAAGAGCGCAGTCTCTCCTCCCTCCAAGCCTGCTACGACTACCCGCTCCCCGCCAGGTTCTGACGCAGGACGCAAAGTGCCGGCTCCCGTTGGTCGCTCGCCCATCGGCCGCATCGGTCTCGCTGGCGCGCGTGAGGCACCGCGCCCCGACGAGGTAGCAGTTGCGACCAAAGTGACGGCCGAGGTGGAGGCCCAACCCGAGAAGGAAGAGAAGGCATCTGAGACGGCGAAGAAGACGGTATCAAACGAAGAGAAGGACAGCGATCAGAAGAAGTCGGAAGAGGAGGAAGAGGAGAAGGAAGAGAGCGAGAAGGACGACAAGCCCGCCGAGTGATTGGTGCCGGTCAAAAGCCTCTAGATCTGTCATGCGACGACACCCAAGCTCCTCGCGCCTAATATACCCTTTCGAGCGCGACACGACCACGACTCTGCCACTGTGTGGCCACGATGTATCTAGCTTGTACACAGCGTTGCCACATTTTTCTGTGCTGAGAAGTTAGGGGTGGGGAGGGGGTGTCAGCCGCGGCTCTGTAATGGGAGGGGCATCGAGGTGCCGAGGTAGAGGCCGGCACCAGCGCCGTCCAGATGCAAGGGCTGAACAGTGCAGTGGTCGGTGAGGACGTAACGAACCCTGGTTTGGGTGGTCGGAACGTCGTCGTGACACAGTGACGAGCCCGTAGCACTGTTCAGAACTAGAAGTGAGGAGCGCTGTGGAAGTTTCTCAGAGCACACCCACCTGACAGCCCTGTTCAGAGACAACTCTGCTCTACGTCTCCAAAAGCTGCACTTGACTCTCTCCTCCCCAGCTCGTCAAACCTCAGGCCGCAATTAAGGCAAGATGCATAGAGTGCTGGGTTATACTGGGCAGGGTAGTAAGTGCTGGTTACGATACGGCGGTATAGATACACATATTGTTAGAGCCAGAGGAAGCGTTTCCACGCGTAGTCGACACGCGCGAGCACCGACACGAGCTTCTCGGCGTCCGCCACACTGCTGTCAGCTCAGCCCCGGATCTATGACATACCTGACGACATCTTTGTTCTCCACAAAGTCGTCCCCCACGTCCTGGACTCGCGCGCACTGGTCCCGGATACGCCGGACGATGCGCTCGACCGTCGCGGCGCACGTCTCGGTCGACTCCAGCCCGATGTCGTCGTCGTCTTCGTCATCGGACGCAGGACCGTTCCGGGCGGCGAATTCGCGCGGAAGAGCTTTGAATGCGAAGAACTCGTCTGCGTCCGGGTCCACGGCCGAGTGCTCCACCACCGCAGGTGGCGTCTTGGGCGTGCTCGTCGGCGTAGGTTCCTTCGACAGCCGCTTGAGCTTGGATGGCGTGCTCAGTAGCCCTTTAGGAGCCGGTGTCGCCACCTCCTTTGCCCGGATGGAGTAGATGCTGTACCGTGTGCCCTCGTCCGCAGGTGAGAAATGAATCACGAAGCCTGCGTTCTCGGTCGTGTCTCGCCCGGCCTCCTGCAGGGCTGACAAGATGTATGCGCCTGATGTCAGCTCGGGCAGCCGCGAGTGCTGACCCTTCTGGATTGAGGTGATGGACTTTAGCGGTATGCGTGTAAACTCGTTCACCTTCTCGAGTGTGTAGTTGAAGGAGACGACATAAAGGGCTTGTTTGGTCTGTCGTCAGCCTACGAGCACAACGGGTAAATTTACCAGAAGCAAGACCTTCTCCTCAAGTTTGAGCGAGACCTTGGTGTTCCGCTGGTCGGGCGAAAGGAGGGTCCACCCCGCAACGCGGTGTTCGCCTTCGCTCAGTACACGTGCAGAGCTCGTTTCGACTGCTGTCAGCTCCACAATGTTAAACAGGGCCTCACTGGCTGCGGCACGGATGCGCGACTGCTTAATGAGGGCAGACCGCTCGGTCGTCTGCAGATTCTGGAGGAACTCGTTAAACACGCCCAAGTTGCGGTGACCGAGCATGAAGGAGATGACGGTTTGGGCAAAGAAGTCGGTGACAGCGCCGTAGAACATGCGGCTGAGGGAACTGACGCCGTCATTGAGCTGGGGTTAGCTGAGAGGTCTGTAAAGAGGGCCTACCATGCCGGAAATGTCGCGCTTGCCGGTCCGCACAAAGTCACCCTTGAGCGCCGTGGTGTGCGCATAGCACATGCTAATCATATCGCCATTGTTGGCCCAAACTGATGTTAGCGCCGTCGTCACTCAGCGGCTTACTATCGTTGAACACGGGCTCGATGTTGCTGGTTGCCGGATCGACGACTACGCCGAGCTGCAGGAGCATCTGAGTGAGGACGTGGCGCGCCACTGCGGACTGCACTACATTCGTGCGATCCAGGCAATCGATACAGCTGGTTGTTTAGCTCGTACCAGGATTATTGACTCACTTGGTCCGGTACACGCCCTGCTGCTCACGCACAGCCTCGCCCTCCAATGACCAGAAGTAGCCCATGGTGTCAAAGTCAAGCTGGGTGATGAGGTCTGAGATGTTGGCCCAGTTCATGCCCTTGCAGTGCTCGTGGAAGTCAAAGGGAACGTAGGTAAGATCAGGGCGGGCGAGGTCGGCGACCAATTCCGTAAACCCGTTTGTAACGGCGGCCTCGCGCCCATGCTGCTCAGAGAGATTGACGATAGTCTGTGGTCAGCTGAGGATCGACGGACTTTGAGTGACGACTCACGACTGGACCGTAGCGTTGACGTAACTCGTCGAAGTGGAGGTTGGCCACAGAGAACGTCTGGTCAACGGGTAGGTCGAGCACTGGTGGAGGCTTCATGGACCACGGCGCCTGGCTCCACTTGAGCGGGATCGAGCCGCGGATCTGGACAAAGCTGAAAAGCGACACCTTGCCGCCAACGAGGGCGCGCACGAGCATTTCTGTCTCGACGAAGTTGGCGACATGACCCTCGTGGTCAATTCCGCGTCTTTGGTAGCGCAATCCAGCACGCTCCTTGCTCCGGCGCGAGATGAGGGCGATGCTGACAGGAATCGGCTGCGGAGCCTCCTCGTCCGCCGGTGTTGGAGGAAGTGGAATGGTGAATGTTGCGGCCTGCACCCAACCCTGGGAGATGGGGAGGATGTATGCGTGCAACCCAAGGTCGATAAAGTCGCGCAGGAGATGTTCATTCCAGAAGAATCGCCGATCATACCGCCTCCACAGGGGGAGATGCACGTCTGGCTCAACGATTTCACCCATCTCTGCCGCTGATGCTGTTGACCTGGCGGAGCGCGCGCCTGGCGACGTAGGGGGCGTATTTCCGGACCGCGGGAAGAAAGGCTTATCCGGAGTACCGCCTTCACCGAGCAGCTGCTCCAGCAAAGACGTTGAAGCCGTTCTGGACGAAAGGCGATGCCTCTTGTATTGTAGCGAGTGCGAGGAGTCAAACTCGAAGGAGTAATAGAACTCGCCTGAGCCCAGCTCTTGTTTCATTTGCCGCAGAATTTTGGATTCGAGGTCGCGACGCTGCGGGGCGTCAATCGGTGGGGCGGATGCCGGCGTTCCCGACAGCGATGGCCTGTCGCTCCCCACACTTCCAGTGGCTGAAAGAGAAGGCGAAGGGGGAACCTCCACTGGTGTGGATGAGCGGCTCTCGTTCCCTTCCAGAACCGCGTCCAGTGGCGGCTCGACCTTCACCTCGGGAAGCGCCGTCATCTCCTGCTCCTCACCTCTCTCCTCTTCGTCCTGTTCAGCTGCGGCCGCTGCGGCTGCCGCACTAGCTGGAGGCTTGGCCTTAGGCTTCCCCAATCGAGGCTTGAAGCGGCCCCAGCCCAGTGACAGGCGCCGCTTGACACGGGCCTCGGGAGTGTCTTCCTCAGGACGAGGCGGGAGTGGAATCGGTGTCTCGTCGGCCTCGGGAGCCTCAGACGATCTACGGGACAGGTCTCCCTCGACCTCGGAGTCGGATTCGGACGATGACTCATCCGTCGACGGGGCGGTGCCGAGCGCAGGCGACCACGGAAGGCGCCATCGCGTCTTGAGCTTGGGCCCTTTTGGTGCCCGTTTAGCCTTATGTCAGTCAGCAAGAAGAGAGCGCATGACGCACCATGATCCTCGCCAGATGTGCGATCTGGGACTTGGCGAGGTCGGGGACGAGGGGGACGAAGTGGACATCAGTGAGCGTGAAGATCTCATGGACGACCCTCTGCTCCTGCTGAAATGGGTCGTCGGCGGGGAAGAGTCGCGTTGGCTGCTTAGTCGGGGGAAGGAAGACGCAGAGGTATGCGGCTAGCGTCAGCTCGGTTAGTAGGTGACGTACCGTCCCATAAACGGACGATGCCGAGCACGCCGCCGATGTCGACGCCGTGGCCATCGCTGGATGGTGCAGAGTCACACGGTTCGACCTTGCCCTTGAGTCCCCATCTAATCAAGACAGCTGGGTCATCTGTCACAGGCGCGGAGCTTATGGGCTTGAGGAGGAGCCCATCTTCGGCGATGGCGAGAACGAGGCGGCGATGGATCGGTGTGGGGAGTGGAGGGACGCTGAGGCGGGCAGGCAGTTGGTTTGAGAGAGTGGAGATGGCGAGTCCCTTGAGCTGAGTATGAGGAGCTTTGCTCATGGTGAAAGAGAGTAGAGAGAAGATGGAGATGTTGTGATGGTCGACCGACTCCACCCCGTGCTTCCCGCCAAGGAGGACCTCCACTTTATTTATCCTGGCTCCATCGTCCCACAACAACATTAGTCCCTGACGCCACCCATCTCACACCCCGGTGAGGGTGACAGACCACATTCCACGTGTAATTCATCTCGTTAATCAATCAATCAATCGGCTCTTATCTCCTCCACTCGGCCACCTCGGCCCGTTATTAACCGTTAATGAGCCGCCCAGACATCGGCTTGTTGGCCCACCTCCATGCCCATGCGGTCAGCCGTCGTCAAGCGCAAGCTGACGGTCTCCCTCACCGCTGTAACAAGCGACTGTAATCTCAACTTCACACTCATCTCCATCTCGCACACATCATGACGCAACTCACAAGCAGCGGGGGTGGGTTGCACTATGCTTACACGCGCTGATCGCAGCTGCTGACACCGAGATCGCACATGTCAATGTCCAGAATGGCCGCGCATTCTCGCTCAATGCCTTCGGCATGAACTACGCCTTCCATGTCGACGCGAACGGCGAGCTCGTACACGACCACTTTGGCACGCCTGCGGAAGTGCAGCCGACTGAGGTTGGCCCAGAGCACATCTCGGGGTGGGCGACACGCTTGACGGACGAGAAGCGAGAGCTTCCCGACGTGGGCCGCGGCGATTTTCGTCTGCCAGCCATCCACATCCGAACCGGTGCGGGGCATACCGTCACCGAGTTCAAGTACACGGGCTACGAAGTGGTGAGGGGCAAGCCGGAATTGGAAGGGCTGCCCGCGACGTTTGGGGGCGAGCGAGACGTGGCGAGTGTCATCATCACGCTTGAAGACGAAGAGAGCGGGCTCGTAGCCACCCTCCGCTACTCTGTCTTCCCGGCACACAACGCCGTCACGAGGTCGTACACCATTACCAACAAGGGTGGTCAGGACGTCGAGATCAAGCGCGCAGCCAGCTTCACGCTCAATCTCGACGCGGGGGAGTGGGACATGGTCTACTTGACAGGCGACTGGGCGCGTGAGGCCAACCAAGTTCGCCGCCGCGTGGAAACAGGAACCCAAGGGTGATTAAAGCTCATGATTGACAGCTGACGCCAGGTTTCACAGCCTCTGCGGGTACTCGTCTCACTTTTTCAATCCCTTTGTAGCCCTCGTGTCGTCTGACACGACCGAGACGAGTGGGCCGGCGTATGGCCTTTCTTTCGTGTACTCGGGCTCTTTCGCCGTCGAGGTCGAGAAGTTTGTGTCGGACCGCGTGCGCGCCAACATCGGTCTCCACCCGCTTCACCTCGACTGGAAACTAGCTCCCGGGGAATCATTCACCGCGCCCGAGAGTGTTGCCGTGTTTTCGAACCACGGTCTTGGCGGGATGAGCAGATCCTTCCATCGTCTGTACCGCGATCACCTAAGCCGGTCAGAGTGGACCTACCGCCCGCGCCCCGTGCTCCTCAATTCGTGGGAGGGCATGTATTTCGACTTTGACGCCGAAAAGCTGTACACCAAGGCAAAGGACTGCGCGGACATCGGCATCAAGCTCTACGTCATGGACGACGGGTGGTTTGGGGTCAAGCACCCGCGGACGGGCGACCACGCCGGGCTCGGAGACTGGGTGCCGAACCCCGACCGCTTCCCCAACGGGCTCGACGACCTCGTGAGCCGCGCCACCTCTCTCTCCGTACACGGAAGCGACCAGAATCTCAAATTCGGCATCTGGGTCGAGCCAGAGATGGTCAACCCCCAGAGCGAACTATACGAGGCGCACCCAGACTGGGTCCTGCACGCCGGGCGACACAAGCGTACAGAGCAGCGCAACCAGCTCGTGCTGGATCTCTCGCGCCGCGACGTGCAGGACTACCTGATCGACGCGATCGGGTCGGTGCTCGCGTCCGCCAACATCTCCTTCGTGAAATGGGACAACAACCGCGCGATGCACGAGCTGCCCTCCCCCTCGACGGCGCACGCCTACATGCTCGGCCTGTACCGCGTGGTGGACAGCTTGACGCGCCGCTTCCCCCACATTCTGTGGGACGGGTGCGCGTCCGGCGGCGGGCGCTTCGACCCAGGTCTCCTCCACTACTGGCCGCAAAGCTGGACGAGCGACAACACGGACGGCCTCGACCGCCTGCACATCCAGTTCGGCACGTCGCTCGTCTACCCGCCCAGCAGCATGGGGGCGCACGTCTCCGCCGTCCCAAACCACCAAGTACAGCGGGTGACGCCGCTCGAGTTCCGCGCGCACGTGGCGATGATGGGCGGCTCGTTCGGCTTCGAGCTCGACCTGCAGGCGCTGGACGACGGCGAGCGCGCACGCGTCCGCGACATCATCGCGCTCTCCGAGAAGGTGTCGCCGTACGTCCTCGGCGGCGACTTGTATCGCCTCGCGGCGCCCGAAAGCAACTACCCCGCCGCGCTGTTTATGATGCCGGGCGGGGGAAGGGGCGTTCTCCTCGCGTTCTGCATGCAGGCGCGCATACACCGGTATGCGCCGCCGCTGTTCTTCGCGGGCCTCGATCGGATGGCAGCGTATGAGATCGACTGCAAGACCTACACCGGCACCGACCTCATGCACTCGGGCCTCAAGCTCCACTGGGACGCGCGCGACTACCAGAGCAAGGTGCTTTTTGTCAAGCGACTGCCGTACGACAATTAGAGTATACTTTAGGATCTTGGTCGATGTACGTTAGTATGCCGAGGAGTGAACTGTCGTGGCTATAGCACATCAGAGGGCGGGTGACGGTCGCTGTTCTGCATCGTGCAAACCACCGGTGCAGGACCTGGAAACCCGAGGAGATGGCCATCCTAGCGAACTGGGTCATGGGTGTCCACGCGTCGTACGCACTCGAGAGCGGCCGGGCCTGGCTTGGCAGCGTGAGGTAGGTGAGTGGCATTCCGCAAGCCGTCCCGCTTCAACCTCTATGGGAGTGCGTGGCCAGGTCTCGCAAGGCGCCATGGCAGCCGTGACTCATTCCACCCTTTCTAACCAATGTTTTAAAGTCGTAATACACCTCCTCGAGAAACCTGGACGGGAAGTGACTACTATACCGCAGCTGGCTCGCGCGTAGCTCCCAGAGCATTTCGGCTCGTTTGCACACACCGGGACGGGCAAATTAGTCTTCTCGGAACGCAAACATACTGCAAGGCACTCGTTTAGAGCTTGGCACACGGGCATCGGAGGGTTGTGTAGTCATGCAACGATACCCGCTGCCATTGCGGACAGGGCGGCATATTGTTGGGACGACAGGCGCCCTGGCCCGTAACACCGGTCGTCCTTCACCATTGTCGGTTCGTGTTCGCCGGACAGCCGTACAGTTGCGTGGCTTGAAGTGCCACATGCTGGCGTCCTGCTCAGCTCGTCTGTGCAAGGCTTACTGAGGCAACATCTGGTTTATACCACTTCCGTAACACCTGCCGCCACATTCCGGCTCCTCTCCCTTGTCGTGATTGCTGCGCAGTATTCTACATGCAAAAGGATGTACAACGAGTCGTGCTATAAGGTCCATGGGTGAGATGCGTTGTGATCATATCTCGAAACCGCCGGCGATTATCGAGCCCGGAAATCACCGAGCCCTCGAGTCTCACCAGCCGCCGGCGGGGGCGGGGGTTGTCGACCACACCTGGTTCTTGTTGACGTACGTGGTGGAGCACTTCCAGATCTCGACCGTGGCGCCCTCCTGCCCGTCAGCTGCGTTCTAAATTCAAGCGCAAAAACTCACCTCAGCCTTGCCGGACGCGTTGTCGAGGCACCAGTAGCCCTTCCACGCGATGGTGCCGGGCTTGGGCCCGGGTGCCCAGTGCGAGTGCGCGTCCGTGCAGATGGCACCCTTGACCTTGGCACCGTTCCGCTCCTGCTCGGGGAAGATGCACATGTTGTAGCCGCCCTCGGTCTGGCGGAGCTGGCCGCCAGCAAGCTCGAAGTTCTGGAGGCCGAGACCGCATCCGTCGCTGTTGTCAGCAGAGTCGAGATGGGAGGACTTACACGCTGCAGTAGCCGCTGTCCATGCCTGAGAGGCAGAAGTTGCCCGACACGCTGGGGTGGTAGCGGAGGAGAGTGGAGGGCGTGGGCGCCGCAGCGACGAGGGCGAGGGTGGCGAGGGCGATGGCAAGCATTGTTGGTGTTGGTGTGGGTGTGGGTGTTGTTTGAACTGTTGGAGTGGAAGTTGTTGGTTGTTGCTGGGAACAAGGGGTCAGTCGACGTCGCCTTTATATGCCTTCAGAGTTGTCCAGATGCCGTCCAAGTGTGCATGTGATAGAGGACGGAGAGCAGTGAATGTCACGGGACATGCACGGCGCGCGAACAAGACACAGCCGAGCCATGGCTGGATGAAACGGCGCGGGAGGTGGTTAACTCTGTTTAGGCCGTGTCCCTGCCCCGAGCATGGATACCCGGCGCGCGCACATCATCAGCCCTCGATTCCCGCAACAATGCACGCGATAACGAGAGTCCGAAGCTTCTGAGCTCTGCGCTACCTGCACACCAATAGCACCAGAGATGCAGCTGTCGACCCACGGTGTTGGATCGTGCCTACTCATTCCCGGTTACGACGGGCAGCGCCGCATGCACAGCCAGCTCGGCGATGCTCAAACGCATGCACACGCCAGACTCACGCTCAGCGCCACGGACTGGTTCCAGGTGCCTAGCCCGGGGTGCCTGCACGTTCGGCGCAGATTGGGGGACGATCTCGGACATTAGACTTTTAGGTGCGTGCACAACCTTGCGGGGCGCCTTCCGCGGTTTCGGTTGTTTTCAGAGTTTGCCAACCCTGCGATTCTGGCGCCACGGATCGTCGGCGGCGGCGTTAAATGCGGCGCTGGGCGCGCTTGGCGGCGACGCCGGCCGCGCGGCTTCGGAGGAGCCAGGGCCATGCGCTTTGGCGCACGGCTGCACGCCGCGGCGTGAGCTTGTGCTCCACGATCCTTCGATCCCTCATCTGTATCCATGCGGGCCACGTGCGTCGGCGCAGCGACGGCAGGTGGCTGACGCCGAGCTCCGTGATACGCTGGCGGCTCCGAAACGAGCAGGCGCGAGCGCCGCCGGGCCGATTCTTCGAGACAAGGCGAGACTGAAACAAGACGGCGTGCAACCAGTATCCAGGCGCGACACGTGCTGTGGCTTAATCCGACGCCGCTGATACGTCGGCGTCGCGAGCTCGACACGAGCCTATGTCGTCGGGTCTCGTGACGCCGAGGGGGCGGCTCGGAGTGCCGTGGCTGAACTGATTCTCTCCGGCATGCGCCCTCGACAACGGAGGTGGCTCGCGGTGAGGCGCACGTGATACGTGCTCACGCCGACACACGCCGATATCGAGACGGGGTCAGGTGTTGGCGAGAGCACAAGTGCACACCTTCGGCCTGGGCTTCAGTCGTCACTGTTGTGCAAGAATTGGAGCCAGCATGGGCGCCCGTGGGGAGGCGGCCTACAGATGATGATAACGAGAGCCTGCATCACCGTCGCGTTTTGCTTGGTGGGGGTGCAAATCGGATCGGCTCGTGACGGCAATCACCACGCTGACTAGCTCCGAGGTCAAGACTCGCCTACTCGGCTTCAATCATGTTTAGCTAGTTAGCGAGACAGACGCGTCAGAGGCGTCAGAAGGTAAGCTCGTCCTAGCTCGGGCATCGAGGTCTACACAACGGCAAATAACGGCATCCAGTGCTCCACGCAGACCACAATCATGTTCCGCATGTCTGCGTGCATGTTCCGCAGTGTATGCAGCCCGAAATCTGGATTTCTAACCCCTGGGCATTCATGCAAGTTTGACTCCCGGTGGTGGCGATCAGCAAGCTTCAAAACCGAGCTTAATGCCGCGAATATCCGTATTCCCAGACGACAAAGCGCGTATAACGACTTGGCGAGATAGACGGGCGGCGCAGGTGCGGTCTCCGATGTACACGGATCGCAGAGATAAGTATCTCGTGGCGTCAAAGTTGATGGAGCGGGGGTGGCGTCACGGATATCAATGCCGAATCCGATCGACGTTGTCTGGACTCGACGATTATCAGTCTGTGATAGCTGGGCATCGAGCCACGAGCCGGCGGCCGGTACGGTACATCAACGGCATGCGCCGCCGTCCTCTCCGCCTTGCGAGATGCAGACGGCTGATGAAGATATGGCAGCTGACACATCGGAGCGCCACACTCATGGCGTTGAAGATGAGCTTGAGTGTAGCGAGACTTGTGCTTGCAGCTCTTTGTCAGAATATCATGTGAGACCAAGTGAAGTTGTCAGCGGCAGATTAGAGTCGTGCGTGCACTTGGAAGCGATGTTTGCGGGGAAGAATCAGTCGACAGGCTCGAGTTCGCCTCAGTTGCATCACATCACTGGTGTGTCAATGTCAGCAAGCTGAATCTGATACCGTCTTCCGAGGAGGTGGAGAGTTGGCACATCTCCGTTGCTCCGATCCCATGCAGCCCACCGCCCCGAAGCGCGTGGGCTGCATGGGCCGTTTGCGCAGAGCTCAAAAGAACGACATCTCCATTGCAGAATGTAGGCTCCAAGCTCGCAAGGTGCTAGTTGTCATGGCTGGGCCCGTCCAGACTCCAGAAAATCACAATGGCGACTTGGAGGAAGCGCTACTCGAAGACCGGAGATTATGGTCAGTCGTCTCCGCAACATTTGCTCTGAGCACGGCCTGCAGAGTCCGTACGTCTTCGCCGCGCTCGGGCGCTTGCGTAAGCTGGGACTGCTGCTTCACGCCATCACAACACCTGTGCTCAGCCACATGGTTAGTCATTGATCACTCGGCGCATACAGCGGCGTATTGGCATCCGTCCCGATTGGTGGAGTGTCATCAACAGATGAGCAGTTGACCCGCATATGCCAAGACGGGCAGTTGAGCGTGCGACCGCCGCGCTTGTCGGAAGCCAGCCCACGAACACGACCGGTGGCCTCCACCGGGCCTCCACCGGAGCAACGAGCTGACTCCGCTCCGTTCCGGGTCAGCCCGCCCGCGTTACGGCCACCGCCCCACCGGCTACTCAAAATCCTCCTGCGTCAATGTTGACATCTCTCTCCCTCTCTTGGATCACTGCAGCCAAGCTTCCGATTACCCATCCGCCTCCCCACCTCCCTCCCACCTCTCCATCCACGACCCTCTCTCCCCATCGTTCACATCGCGCACACTGCATCGCGCACACGATCGGTGCAACCTACACTCTCTTCCTCCACCTCCACCCCGGCGGCGCATCGCATCTCATCGTCATCAGCCACTGGCCCCTCGAATCTTACCGCGCCCGCTTTTCTTCCCCACTCCTCCCACATACCCCACCATGGTCGCGTCATCAGACAAGACCGATGTCGAGCTTGCTGCTCCTAAGGCGCCCCGCGGCCCATGGGCGTATCTCAATGGCATTGTTGACAGCAAGAAGTCCAATCCCATCTCGCTGTACGCCTGCTTCTTGACCGGCTACACGAGTGCTCTCAGTTTCTCAGTAAGTTCAGAGCCGTAGAAGAGACCAATGCGATGGGATGTTTGGTTGACCCCAGGCTTGCTTCATCTGGTACGTGACTTAGGCGCCGGATGACGCCATCTCACCACCTTCGGTGTCGCCTCCACCGTGATTTTGGACTGTGGCGGTAGTGTCGCGTCTTGTTGCCCTTCTCAGACTCGACTTTTTCGCGGTTATGAGATACGCACGCGAAGAGACGGTGACACGAGCACCACACGCCAATACCTATGCTCCATTCTTCGGCTGCTCGCGTGACGCAAGTCCGTCGCTGACCCCAGGTGTGGCTTCCAGACCGGTAACGTCGCCCAGCTTGGCATTGCCGTCGCCCGTACCTTCGACCCAATCGGTGAACGGACATACCACTTTGACAAGCCCGATCAGCAGGCTCTCACCTCGGTCCTCGCCTTCCTCATCGGCACGACGCTTGGCCGCATCGGCGACCGCATCGGCGCCAAGAAGCGCACCTGGCTCGTGCTCGCGACCTTCATTCAATGCCTCTGCTGCCTCGCCGCCGCGCTCGCCGCTCACTACTCGGGTGAGGGGGCCTATGCCCAGTGAGTACTCTGAGTGGAGAAGTGTGGAGGTGGGCCGATGAGTACGGAACTGCCCACCAGCGACCCGAGTCGTCCTGCGGCTCTCCCAGCCTGCCATCCCATCTCCTTTTGTCCCGCTGCGCTCGCGCTGACCCAAGAAACCGCTGGGGCCCATCTTGGGCGACACCGCTGGGCATGGTCTGCCTCGCGTTCCTCTCCGCCTCCCTGGGCCTGCAGGGTATTATGGGCAAGCGCATCGGCTCGCCGATGAACACGACCGTCGTGCTCACGACCACCTGGGTCGAGATCTTCAACGACCCCCTGCTCCTGAGCTTCAAGAAGCAGACGGGGCGCGACGTTCGCATCGGTGGCGTGCTGTCGCTGCTGTTTGGGGCGTTCGTCAGCCGAGCGCTCACGAACGCGTGCGGTGGCGCAGCAGGCGCGATCGGCTGCCTCTGCGCGTTCCGCATGGTCCAACTCGTGTGGTGGATCTTCCTTCCATCGCCTCCCGAGGCTTAAGCGACATGGACGGGGATAGCTGGGCGGCCGGCGTGTGGACAGTATGAGTACGATAGAGGGGACATAGATTTGATCTAGAGTGCTAGATCGGACTTCTTGTTGTTGGAACCAGCATTTATAGACATGCATCAGCATTGCAAGTGGAGGGCAGGGGCCTGCGACATGTGTGGCGGGCAAGCTGAGAACAAGGCATGAAGTCGAGCGGCAGACCTTACGGCCGCCAATGCTGCAATGCTGACTGCATATAGGTTGGCCACCCAGCTCCCCTCCCTCTCACACTTAAATCATGGACTTGCTCACTTCTCTGCGCGACATACCAGCTGCCTCCGCTCCTCAGCCATACATGCATACAATATCTACACCTTGAGCTGCCCCGCCTTGTCCGCGACCTCATCGACCGCCTCGGCCTGCTCGTCGCGGGACGGCACCTCGTCGTCCGTCACCTCCCCGGCGGAGACACGCACCTCGTCGTCGTCGCCCTCGATCTTCCACACATATCCCTCGATCCATCCCGCGACCTCCTCCTTCCCCTCGCCGGCGAAGACGGCCTCGGCGAACGCGTCGCGCTTCGCGGCGTTCGTTTCCTGCCGTCAGCGCTTCCCAGATGAGAATGGGAGAGGAGAAGAGAGGTGGGAGTAGAGGAGAGACGAGAGGGAGAGAGGGGGAGGGGGGAGAGGCGGAAGGAGGAATAGGAGGAGCGGGGAAAGAAGGAGGAGGATGAAAGGCAAAAACACACCTTCAACACCTGGATGCCGCCGCCGCTCGCCTCGGGCACCTCCACGAGCGCTTGTACCGCCGCGACGTGGTTGTTGAGCACAGCCCAGTGGACGGCAGGCGAGCCCGCCTCGTTCTTCGCGGCGATGAGGGCCGGGAGGGCGGAGGCGGGGACATTGGAGAGGATGAGGTTGAGGACGTCTGGTGTCAGCGTATGCACCGGATATCGTTGGCTCTCGCAGAGCTTCAGCTAGCTCGCACAGCCGAGGGAGTGGAGGTGAACGGTGGTGCAGAGGCAATTCCCTCAGCTCGGGCCGGTGCTGGCTGTCCTCCCAGCGACCCGCACTCACCGACATGCCCGTTCCCGCAGGCCATGTGCAGCGCCGAGTTACCGCGGTCGTCCCGCGCAGCCGCGACTGCTTCCCAGCCGTGCGCGTCCGCGAACGCCTGTACGTCCTCGAGGTCGCCGTAGCGCGCGCTCAGCACCAGGTCTTCGAGCTCGTCCGGTGTTGGTGCCATGTTGTGGTGAGATGGGTTGAAATGTCAGGCCGAGCGAAAATATCTGCTGGGTGCTGGGTGGCAACTGTGCGTCAGGTCACGTGGTCTAATGGCCCGGTTGAGGTTCGCTTTCGCCCTCGCGACCTTGCACCTAATAAGCGACTCCGTCCACCGCCGCGCCGACTTGAATATAAATGCATTCCGACAGGGACGATGAGAGTGTGATGGGACTTGCTACGAGAATACAGGGTGCAGGGTGATGGGAAGATGGAAAACGGGCGTAGAATGGCAAGAAGGAAACGAACAGGCGGAAGGGCAAGCGAGAATTATACAATGCAGGTATGCGTAGTGTGGTGCTGGAGCTGTGAGGCATGATGCAGGAGTGACAGTCGTAACGTCAACATCGTCGTAACGTCGACATCTAGCGGATGAGGAATGAGCCGAGGCACTGCACCGCGGAGATGAGTGCGACAGTGTAGAAAGCTCTGGGGTAGCCGGCGGGGTTGCCACCGATCGCTGAACTCCAGATGGCGCCGCCGAGGGCGGGGCCAAAGAATCGCGCCATGGACACGGTCGACTGTGCTAGGCCGTTCGCCAGCCCGACAAGGTGGGGCGGCGTCATGGCGTTCTACTGTCAGCTCGAATTCCTGCACAAACTCACGATTAGAATCATGATCGCCGTGTATGCAAAAGTACCTCCGCAGTAGCGGAGCGCCGAGATCAGTGACATGGACGTCATGGTGATGAAGTTGCCCGGGCTCGTGGGTGACGCGATTGGGTGGAGAAGCGGCACCAGAAGGTATCCTGGAACGTAGAGCAGACATCCGAGACGGAACATCTGGAGCATGGAGAAGCGTCCCAGAGGCGGGCCGAGGCGCGGGAAGAGGTAGAACTGGTAGATAAGCTGGCCGACGCACATAATGGCGACGAAGACCGAGTAATTAGCTGGCGTGACACCAACACCACCGCTCTTGTAAGGAGTGATGATGAAGGAGAGGAAGATCTGTCCATGCGCCGAGTCGTGGCACGCCAGCAGGCCGTACTGGGCAATGACCAGAAGCGGAAGAAGCTTCCATCTCGATGCCGGCTTCTCAGCAACTTGCGTCGAAGAACTCGACGACGCCGTCGGAGACTGCTGCTGCTCATGAATAGCAGTAAGGGCGGGAACGCCGATGCGGCGCACGGTGCCAGTGGGTGAGAACAGGTCTGTCCCGTCCTCAGCAGACTCGTCGTAAGGCGTGATGCCGGGAGTGGATGAGAGACCCGTGTTGGAGAAAATGGCCGGAACAACGTTGGACGAGCCGCTGTGACGGCGAGACGACACACCGGATGGTCGACGGAAGCCAGCAGTTGTACTGGCTGTGCTAAACACGCGAGGCCTACCGTAGCGAAGCGACGCGGTGCGGGTGCGCGAGAAAGTGCCACGCGAGGGCGAGCCGAGCTGTGTCACAGGGGATGAAAAGCCCGACTGCAGGTTGTCCTCCGTGTCGGCAACAGACGACTCAGCGTCATCGAGATCCACCAAGTTGTTGTCCCGAGTATCATCGTCCTCATCCATGATATCCTCATCGTACTCATCATCGTCGTCGAACACAGCCGTGTCCTGGGCCACAGCGGCCGAAAGCCACAGGTCGTTGATGTTGAATGTGTTGTCTTCGTTGGCTAGCAGCAGCTTGGTAGCAAAGCTGACGTTCCGGTCCGCATCCTCAGCTCCCACTGAGCCACGGCCCTGCGCTGCTGAGAGCCTGCGTGCAGCCTCGATGGCGCGACGAGCAGCAAGAGTAGGGTGCTTGGAACGAATACCACCGTAACCGTATGCTGTGCCAATGCTTGCAATGCTTTCGTGGCGGGGCACTGTGCGCGGAACTGACTGGCCGTACTGCGGCACATGCGAGGTCGAATAGCCCGGAGTTTGTCCGTAAACCGAGCCACCGAAGGGAGTACCCTCATGCGCGGTGGGAGACAGGAGACCACCCGGATTGTTGATGCGCAATGCCTGAGACGAAGGTGGCCGAGCCGGACCTGGGGTCTCGCCGCGAGGGGGGGCGAGCGGCTCGTCCTTCTCCACTTCGAGCTGGATACGCTGGCCACCACGCACACCTCCGTCCCACGACAGAAAGCATGCGAGAACAGCTCCGATGAACATGATCGAGCCGCCCAGCAGCGTAGGCAAAAAGTAGGGCAGACGCTTGAATATGGCGATGCGTCCGAAGAAGGTGTTGGGCCAGTTGACAGCGGGGCTCTCAAACATGCCACCGATAACCTGTTGTCAGTTCGCTTAGGTGTGCGCATATTCACTGGTCCGACCACTCCACCAAGACCCCAGGAGAATCCGAGCATTGCGTATGCTCTAGTCGCATTCGTATCGTCCGTCAGGTCACGGATCGATCCTCGGAACTGGAGGAGTAAGCGTCGACACACCCCATGTGCTCGACCTACCACTCCGATAGCGCCTCCAAAGATGCCTTGAATAAGACGCACGCAGATAGCCTCCGGAAGCTACTGTCAGTGGGTGCGCCCAATGGCGTCATGTGTGTCACTCACAGACTGCGATGTGCCGAACATGAGTAGGGCAATGCCATTGCCGAGCATGCTCGCTACGAGGACAGCACGACGACCATGTCGGTCGGCAATGCTGCTCCATAGCAGCGAAGTGAAGAACTGCGTGATGTAGAAGACGGAGACGAGGTTGCCTTCGGGTCAGCGTGGTGGCAATGTCAGATTGCTCACCAGTCCAGAGACCGACAGTTGCTTCCAGATCGTCCTCCCGAGAGTGACCTTTGGCAAGAAAGAACTTTTCGACCATGTTTAGCATGAACGGCTGGGACAAGTTCGCCGAGAGAAGCTCTGAGAGCATGGCCTACATTGTCAGCGAATTGATGCAGCTGTTGATGGATGCTGAATCCCGGCCGGACATATAACGTGTAGCACCCTGGGTGACAAACAGCCAGTCACGGTGTACACATTCAACTGGCGGAAGAACAGACCCGAGTAGTGTCACGCCGAGATTTGTTGCGCGCAAACGATGAGATGCTAACTCACAATGCACAGAACGACCATGGGCAAGACGGGGAGAGGCGTCGAGTATGCTGGGCGGATGCCCGGTACCAGTGACGGCAGCTTGATGTCCTCATCTTCAAAGTGGTGGTGACTAGAGCGGCTGGCGGCGCGGCTGCGACGGTGCGTCTCGCGGAAAGTTGAGAAGCTGGGTCTAACTGAGCTTACGCGACGGGTGTGGTGGACGGGGGTGGCGAGTGCGTCGGCAGCGGCGTGGGCGCCAGCGCCCGACGCCGATGTGGAGGTCATCGGGTTGATTCGACCCGATGCAATGCCGAGGGCGGTTCGCTGGCCCCTAGCAGGTGTGGAAGAGGTTCGGCGAGAGGGCGAAGGAGATGGCGAAGGGGAGTGGGACGGAGTGGCGTCGGGGACTTCGAGAAGGGGACTGAGGGTGGATGACGGTTCGGGAGGCTGTGCTCTAGGAGGCGTATCTAGGCCGCCTTGATATGAGGGCAGCATGATGAATAGCCGTGCACGGGAGAGGTCGAGAAAGAGCCGAGACAGAGAGCAGAGAGGGTGAGAGATCGAGAGAGGATGAAAGAGGGAGATGTGGGAGATAGGAGATAGCAAATGGAGTGAGCGGTGGGTGGAGAGACGTGTTTGTTGTTGCCAGGGAAGGTTACGTGGGATTATTCCCGCACTTGGCGGCACGGGTGTGGAACCGACGCGGCTACTCCCCTTCGCACAGTTGCGAGAGTTTCCGCTTTCTTTTCTAGTCGTCTCTCTCAACGACGCCGCATGTGACAGCGTTGTACGGCGGCGGGATATCGAGTGACTTTAACTCATAAGCTTGTGGCCAACCACAGAAGTCTCGCGCCGAGGGAAGTCGCGCACGAGTACTAGTGGAGCAGGATAGCGGGGAATGTGAAGATGTGATGGTGTGATGGGCTTGATAGGCGTTGTGATCGATGTGAATGGTCTTCAGCGACGGGTGATGATCTCGTGCACGGCTTGCGCTCTTTCCAACAGCTCATCTTGACGCAGCACCCCTCTCAATCTCTCCATCACGACCGCGGTCATCCACTAAATCTCTCTCTCGTGTTGACATAGACTGGCTGTCACCCGCTGTGCTTCGACTTGGGCAGTCATGCTAGATCTCCCAGCCACCAAGTGTGCCTGAAGCTGCCCACTACTCAACGCGTCCGAACGGTGGCGTCGAGGCGTCGTGGCGTAGCTAGGGGATGGCGGTTGGGAGTGGAGTGATGGGAGATGGTGAGAAAGGACAATTGACGAGGAAGGAGTGATGAACTGCTTCGTTGCAGCCGGCTGGCTCGCTGGCTCTTGATAGAGTAGATTTACCCCAGGCCCCAGGTCGAGCTGGTCGACGGTGAGCAGTCACCCCCCTCCATCTCTTCATCTGATCATCCGTCTCTGGCCTTCAGTGTATCCTCTTGTAACTTCTTGATCTCTTGATTCGGTCTACTGCTCAGGAATCGGCCAGCAGCAAGCTAACTCCTCGCCGACGGCTGACGGACGAGTCCGACGGCGAGGCGCCAGCCACAGTGATTTGCTCGATTCTCAAGAAGCAGCCTATCGATCAATCAACTGTGTCTGCATCGCAACCTCATTCTTCGCCGTCCCTCTTAGTTGGCTACTTTACTCAACATTTCAACTACCATCATCCGCTCTCGGCTGCTCGGGTTTGTTTACAGCTCCGTCCTCACCCATCAGACGTCTCGAGTCTCGCCACCCACTCACTCTAATCTCACTCTGACGTCATCGCGACCTGTCATCAACCCGGGCAACCTGCAAAAGTTGAACGTGTGTGGTCGCGCGACCAACATCTTCATTCCTCCCCACCTGTCCTCGACGTGCGTCGTTTCTTCCGAGGCGCCCGCAGCTCCTACGCCCCGTCGTGGTCTCGTGACCTCTACCGTACACACGCTCCACGCCATCGTCGGACGACCTTGCACACACGCCCCCGGACCAGCATCGCGACGCTCGCACAGGCACCCACGTTCGTTGACATTCCGGGCGCCGAAGCCGGTCCGCAACAACAATATCCGACATCGACCCACCACAGGCCACGCACCCCCTCCACTTCGTCACGTCGACCCTTGGGCCGCCTGATCTCGGGTCCTCAAGTTTATTTTGACCTTTCATCCTCAACTTTCATCTGTCTTTCGTCGCAAACAGTCTGATCGACCATGGCAGTCCGGAGACGGACACGTGCGCCCCCAGCTCCTCTCCGATGGGAGGAGACGACCTCCATCGTCGACAAGTACTGGGGCGAAATGACGTCCGAGGCTATTCGCGAGCGCGTCGTGAGTATCGTCGCCAGCGGTACGGCTGACAACTTAGCTCGAAGCTGCCCCGCGCAATCCGCTACACACACATCGTGTCTTCAGGAAGCTCTACATTGCCTTCTTCTTCCTTTTTGGCTTCTTCGTCCTTGTCCCACTTTGGTTCCTATGGTACTGGCCCCGATTTACGCGCCCTAGACGATCCTGGACCGCCCAACGCTGCGTCCGAGTGGCGTGGAGTCGCCGCATTTGCGCAATCGTCGCCCGCTGTGAAATCGATTGGCTCGGAAGGGACCTGAGCGTGCAGCTGGTAAGTCCTCATCTCCTCGGTTCGCAGTAAGCGGTAGTGGGAGACGGGAGAGTGAAGCTCTCAGCTCATCGGTGGCTTGAGCGCGCGGCGCGTGCTGCAGAAACGGTCGATGGTGACCGCGTCCGTGGTGCGTTAGGCGCCGAGGAATGCTCTGTCGGTTTCTGATGGCCGGGTTCGAATGGCCGCCCGCCAAGCTTGCGGGGTATACGAACCATGGTGGCGCCTGAGCTCGGTCCGTGCGGCGCCCTGCCCGGAGCTGCGGTGAGCACCAACTATGGCTGACGCAATAGGATCCCTCGAGGCTCGTCCACTCGCACCCAGTCACCCTCGGCGTCCCGCCAGACTCGTGGCTGATTGGTTATGCCGCAGACATGATGGAGCAGTTGCACGCGACCCGCGGCAAGTGGCACCCCGACATGGTCCACAGACGGTCCTCGGCCTGGAGTAGATGGAACCCCGCACCTGCGCCGCACGGCTTCGCCCCGGTGTCGGCCTTTTGGTACTCCGGGCCGAAAGCCAGCAGGAAGAGCAAGCCCCTTCCTCGTCAGAGAGGCGAACCGGTGCTTCTGGCCTTCCACGGCGGCGGCTACATCTGCGGCTCTGCTGCGGAGACGGACGCCACATCGCTCATCTACCGGAACCTAGTGCAATACACTGCCGTCAAGCACGTCCTGAGCGTCGACTATCGTTTGGCCAACAAGTCCCCCTGGCCTCTTCCCCTGCTAGACGCCATCGCGGCATACTACCACCTTGTGGCAGTTGAAGGCATTGACGAGCGCGACATTCTCATTGGCGGGGATAGCGCAGGCGGGCACCTCGCGCTGGCGACGATGCGCTGGATCCGCGACGCTGGTCCGCAACTGGGCCTGCGCGGGCCCCGTGCTCTGATCCTCTTTTCACCCTGGTGCGATATCGGGTTCACCCACGTTTGGGGTGACAAGCTCATGAAGCACAACCAAAGCACGGACATCATCCACGACAGCTTCGGACCCTTTGCCTCGGGCTTGCTCACACGCGCCATGCCGCCCGGCTGCATCCACAAGGACGTGTACCTCTCTCCAGCCTCGCGCCTCATCGCTCCGACGGCAGGCACGTTCGCCGGCTTCCCGCCCATGTTCATTACGTACGGCGAGGTCGAACGCATCTCGCTCGAGATCACCGACTTGTTCCGCCGCGTCCAGCTTTCGCGCAGGACCATGCCCGCGGTGATCCCAGACGAGCTGTATCAAGCACCTGACGCAGTACACGACTTCATGATATTCCCCTGGTTTGCCGACGAGACCGCCGGCGTGCTCGAGCGTCTCGACGAGTGGCTCCGCGAGCTCTTGTCTCGCGACGACACCGAGGACGACGCGGTCAGCCTCAACCTCGGCCCGCACGGCGAGCTCCAGCCCCTTGCCATGATCTCGCCCGCTACCGAGCTGCCCCCGCCCCTCGCCCCGCTCACGGGCATGCGGCCTACTGCGGCGCAGTCGTCGCGCCCCTCACCTCACGTCAGTCCGTTTTCGCCTTTCTCGCCTCTCTCCCCGCTCCAGTCGCCCTACGTCCACGCCCTGTCTCCAGAGGAGAAGCAGCGCCGGCAGGAGAAGCGCGCCGCGCTCAGAGCCGCAAAGAGCCCCAGAATGGTGCCGGTGCGCGACACGCCGCGCCTCATGTACGCCGACATGCGCCACGAAGGCCTTCACTACTTGGACATTCCGCACCTCGATCTGGGCGGCAGCGGTGGATCTGGTGTGCCCATCGGCACCGCCGCCCTCGAGGAGGACGAGCTTCGGCTTGAGGCCGAAAAGGACGACAGCGAGACGTCCAGAGAAAGCGACAGCGCGTCGCGTCCGCCTTCGCGTCGCGCCAAGTCGACTCCCTCGCACCCCCGCTCTAAGATGTAGTCACGCAACCAAAGAACACACTGTAGTATACTGTACATATGCATGGCATCATCAACGCTGCATCGTCTGGACGCAGCTCGAGGTTCGTACAAGCTCAACCTCGCTCAACTTAATGAACCCAGCACGACGTTCTCAAAAAGACGCTCCTAGTGGCCATTGGTCTGCCCGTGTCCGTTGGTGTGGCTGTGGCCGTTGACGTCCGGCGCACCAAGTTTGCCGTCGCGACGCTTCGCCTCGCGGTCAGCCTCGCGCCGCTCAATCTCATCGTCAAGCTCAAGCGCTCTGGCCCACAGCGCTTGCGTGAGCTCCGCCTGGTGGTGAGAGAGGGCGAGAAGGCTGATGTTAGCATTCACGTGACGTGCCTCTCAGGCTAAACCTACCGAGCAATCTTCATGCGACGCTTAAGACGGCCCTCGGCGTCGTCGGTACCGCGACCTGCGCGGCGCTCCTCGACGAAGCGGTCCTGCACGGAAGAGGCGACCGATTCCGGGATGGTGAGTGCTGCAGCGTGTGCCGCGCCTCCATGCTCGGCCAGGTATTGCCTGAAGGTGGTGAGTTGCTCCTCGCTAACTGCTTCAACTGAGTCGGCCAGGGAGACAGGAAGAACTGCGTCACAGGGAAGTAGAGACTTGCCCTCCCCGCTGATCACTGCGCGCAGGGCACACTCAATCCGCACCCCGTCCATGTAAGGGTACTCGTAGTTGACGGTCTGGTGCTCAACCGCGTCCTTCAGCGCCTGAAGATTTCGCAGAGCAACTTCGTTGAGGGCACCGCCGGCACCCAGCCCATCCTCGTCGACGAGGAGAAGCGTGCCCGGAGCCAACTGGAGCAGACCAGGAGAGAGGGACGCGCCATCACTCTTCGGTCGGAATCGCTCAGCGTGCAGCAGGGGTAGGGTAAGATGGAGGTTAACTGCGGAGGGGGAGAGTGCTGCCAGGCGAGGGTGGAGCGTGTCGGAAGAGGGGCGTGGGCGCACTAGGTTGAGCGCAAACGTGCCCAATGGGGGGTGACCCGTTGGCCTGACGGCGGGGCGCGCAAGGAGTGCGAGGAGGAGCAATTCAGCGGCGTGCTCGTCAGGCGGTGAGAACACGCTTGCGAGGTAAGAAAGAAGATCGGCGCGCGCGGTCGATGCCGAGGGCCGAGATGCGCCCTCGATTGGAGAGACGGTAAGAGCGTGAATTGCCGGTGCGAGGGAAGGCTCGTCCTCATCGTCGTCGAGCGATGTTGGCATCGGTGCTGCGGACACCAATCCCACTACATCGTACGAGGAAGCTGGAGAGGGTGAGAAGTCTTCGTACACCTTCAGAAGGGCGCCGGTGTAGTCTGTCCCCTTTACGGTTGGGTGCTTGTCCTTCACTACCGCGTGCGATGCTTCCAAGGAGAGGCCTGCAAATGCCGCCGAAATGTCGGAGATGCTAGAAGCATGCTTCGCCCACTCTTGTTCTCCTGGAATTCTGTAGTTAGTTCACTGACGCGACAGCACCTCACTCAACAGCCCATCCGACCCAGCGCTCACGCAACTGGCTCCAGTCGCTGGCGTCGGCGCCAGGAGGAAGGTATACCTCTGCTGGGTAGCCGGTGTCTTGCAAGAGGGCACGAAAGCGGACAACGCTGAGTGGACGAGATTCCTTGCTAAATGGGGGGATCTGCGTCAGTTGTATCGCTTCAAGAACAGCTTACGATCTCGGGGCGCTCGAGTGCGTCATGTACATGTGCGAGGAGGGCGGCCTTCTGGTCAGGCGTCACTGCCGTCAGTTCCTGTCATAAAACACAGCTCACCCTCTCCGTCCGTCTCTCGGATGGCTATCCTAACAATCTCGTCAGCTGGGAGCATCTTGGTGATATATGCGGAAGAGTGATGGCAGTGGACGACGAACATTACCAACGCGTCCTTGATCCAGACGCGTCGAGACCGACATTATGCTTCCGCTTCACAGTGGAAGACCACGTGGATGGCGATGATTTGGTCCCGCGCCAGCACGTCAGTCCCACCAGCGACAACCAACTCTTGAGCTCCTCCACAGCCATCGCTACATCTACATTGCCCAACATGGTGAGCTGTTGCGCACTGCTTGAGCTGACAGCAGGCCGCCGCCCAAGTCTCCAAGGCCATCCCGGTCGAGACGCAGCATGAGGACATGATTGTGCGCCGTCCAAGCTAGCTCTACTGACGCTAGCATGACGCCCAGCTTGACTACTATGGCAAGCGGCTGGCGACGGCATCCTCAGACAAGACAATTCGCATTTTCAACACCGTCAAGGGCGAGGCGAAGGGCGAGCCCGTGGTGCTGAAGGGGTACGGCTCTGCATCGAGGCTGAAGCTGACTTAAGACACACCGCTCCCGTCTGGCAGGTGTCCTGGGCACACCCGTCCTTCGGGTCGATCCTTGCGTCGTGCTCGTACGATGGACGCGTGTTTATCTGGAAGGAGGTTGGCCAGGGTGCGGGCAAGAGCAGTGGCGGCGAGGTGCAGGACGGTTGGGAGCGGATTAAGGAGCACACACTCCACTCAGCGAGCGTGAACTCGATTGCGTGGGCGCCGTACGACCTCGGACCGATTCTGGCGTGCGCTAGCTCGGACGGCAAGATCTCCGTTCTGACTTTCCAGAGTGCGTCTCAGATGGCCCCTGTCTGACTTCGTCGTAACTAACGGCAGACGACGGCTCCACCGATGCTGTTATCTTCAACGCTCACGGCTCCGGCGCCAACGCGGTGTCCTGGGCACCCTCTGTTCTTGCCACTCCCTCCGTGCCCAAGCCGGGGCAGCCACAGCAGGCTGTAACTTCTGCCAAGCGCTTCGTCTCTGGCGGGAGCGACAACGCCATCCGCATCTGGGGCTTCGACGAGGCCGCCAAGAAGTGGGTCGAGGAGGAAGAGATTCAGGAGCACGACAACTGGGTGCGCGACGTTGCGTGGGCACCCAACATCGGTCTCCCCGGGATGTACATTGCAAGTGCAAGCGAGGTGCGTGATGTCGAATTCGCAGCTCCAACCTCAAATGCTCTCCCTCTCAGCTTAGCGACGGCTGAGTAACGTTCTGCACAAATGCTAACAACAGGACCGCACAGTCAAGATCCACACGCGCACCTCGCAGGATTCGGCGTGGCAGAGCACGGCACTTCTCCCGGGCGCACCGGCTTCATCCGACCCGCACTTCCCCGCCGCGGTGTGGCGCGTGTCGTGGAGCATTGCAGGCAACATCCTCGCGGTCAGCTGCGGCGACGGCAAGGTGAGCCTGTGGAAGGAGGGCGTTGGTAAGGGCTGGGAGTGTGTCAGCGACTTCTCCAGCTAGACATGGCGTATGTAATAGAATGCAGTATATGACAGAACATGGTACACGGTATGGTTGCGCTGTACAATCCTCCTCCTCTATCTAAGTATGCGTCTACCACTGCGAGAGGAACTCATCCGCCTGCGGTCAGCTTGGTCTTTACTGAACAACTTGCCTTGGCGGTTAGTGTTGCCCAAGGCGTCTGTGCGGTCCCATTGAGCACGAGCACGAAGTTCGAGATGTGCGGGGGGCGAACGGCGGGAATTGCAGCGTTGGGAGGCGGCACCTCTGGCTCCTCGAGACCGATAGGGCGAAGGAACAGGCGTCCAAGCTGGCATTAGCCTTCTAAACCATAGGATGTCATGACCTCCGGCGCCTTGCCACTCACCTCACACTCCACGCGCGGACTCTCGTCGTCCTCCCACTGACTCGCCAGCCCTAGGAGAAGCCGCAACCGCTCCGGCCCTTCGAGGTATGGTTCGTCGTCATCTTCCTCTTCGCTCCCTTCGTCGCTCCCCGAGCCGTCCTCCCCATCTTCCTCCTCTCCCTCGTCTCCATCATTTGCCTCGGAGACGGACTCGGTGTTGTTGGTTCCATTAGGCTCGCTCCCTTCGTCGTCGAGCGACGCCTGAGCAATGAGCTGCCCCGCGGGCGTGATTAGGAGCACTGTATGCGGCCCATCTTCGTCCAACAGGCCCGCCAGTAGGTTGTGGACGCGTATGGGCGAGACAAGCATGTTGATGTGGTAGCAAGACGCTCGATCTCGTCGTTGCGTCATGGCTGCTGAACCTTGCCACGCGCAAGTATCGCCGAATTTCCGGGTGGAGGCGTTGGTCGTTTTGGCCACTCAACCGCGTACTGTTGATCTTTCGACATCCCTCGGACAACGTCGCGCACGCCAGCGACACTCAAAACGCTCACCAAGCTCGAGCCAGTAACTGAGTTGACAGGCTACGCGCGGTTAGCGCTTGCAGCCTTCTTCACTTGCGCCTCTCATCTCCCACAACAACACTCCCGCCTTCGCGCACTCCCACGCTCGCACCGCCAGCAACATGGCCGACGACGAGGAGACGAATGGGGCCTACCCCAAGCTTGCCTCGTACACGGCTCCACAGGAGTTGCTTGATGAGCATGCGGCGATGGCCGAGGAGGATGGCGAGCCGGACGAGTTCCAGGAGCGCCGGAACGTCAAGCAGATTGCTCAGCGTCAGAGTGACTACCACTTGCGGCGCTTCCAACGGCGTGACGGCGTAGGCGAGGGCGAGGACGAGAGCTATGAGGACCGCATGCGGCGTGTCAATCTTGAGCGTGAGGAAGAGCGCGTGCGCAAGTTCAAGGAGCAGAAAGCGCGCGAGGAGGCAGAGCAGGGCGTCCAGCAGATCACCGAGGACGACAAGACGCCACCACGGGCGCTGCTGGAGGGCGATGCGACTCCACCAAGAGCGATCGCTGGCGGTGACACACCTCCCAGAAGGCAACGCTGGGATGACGACGACGTCAAGCCCGATGTCGAGCGGAAACGGTCGCGCTGGGACGAGACACCTGAGGAGGCCGATGTCAAGCCAAAGAAGCGACGGTCCCGCTGGGACCAGGCGCCAGCGGAGGAGGAAAAGCCCACTGCCCTCGCCGTGAAGGAGGAGAGGGTCGCTTCCTCTGCCGCGCCCCAGATGGTTGAGGACCGACGGTACCGCGCTATCACGGACGACGAGCTCAACTCGCTTTTGCCTGGCAAGGCAGATGGATACGAGATCGTGCCAGTTCCCGAGGATTACGTTCCGATGCCAGCTGTGCGTAAGATGGTCCCGGAAGACTCGCAGCACGCGGCGACGGGCTTCATGATGCAGGACGAGAGCGCTGCGGCGCGCGCCGTGCAAGCCGCGGGTGGATTCCAGGGGACAGGCGAGCAGACGGAGATCGAAGGCATCGGGACTCTGCAGTTCCTCAAGCCTGAGGACGCCCAGTATTTCGCCAAGGTGCTGGGCGAGGGTGGTAGCGAAGCCGATGACGTGCACTACACCCTTGACGACTTGAAGGAGCGCAAGATCATGCGCCTCCTGCTCAAGATCAAGAACGGCACACCACCAGTACGCAAAACGGCATTGCGCCAGATTACGGACAAGGCGCGCGAGTTTGGAGCCGGACCACTGTTCGACAAGATCCTGCCCCTACTAATGGAGCGCTCGCTCGAGGACCAGGAGCGCCACCTGCTCGTCAAGGTTATCGACCGCATCCTGTATAAGCTTGACGACCTTGTGCGACCCTACGTCCACAAGATTCTTGTGGTCATCGAGCCTCTCCTCATTGACGAGGACTACTATGCGCGCATGGAGGGCCGTGAGATCATCTCCAACCTCGCGAAGGCCGCGGGCCTGGCGCACATGATCTCCACGATGCGCCCCGATATCGACCATGTAGATGAGTACGTGCGCAACACGACTGCACGAGCATTCGCTGTTGTCGCGTCAGCGCTCGGCATTCCCGCCCTCCTTCCCTTCCTCAAGGCTGTTTGTCGCTCTAAGAAGAGTTGGCAGGCGCGCCACACCGGTATCCGCATCATCCAGCAGATCGCCATGCCTGGTATGATGGGTAACGGTGTCCTGCCGCACCTGCGCAACCTCGTCGACGCGATCGCGGACGGACTTCAAGATGAACAGCAGAAGGTGCGCACGATGACGGCCCTTGCATTGGCGCAGCTCGCAGAGTCCGCCGCGCCATACGGCATTGAGTCGTTTGACAACGTGCTCAAGCCCCTTTGGCTTGGCATCCGGCAGCACCGTGGCAAGACGATCGCCGCGTTCCTCAAGGCCATCGGTTACATCATTCCGCTCATGGACCCCGAGTACGCTGGCTACTACGTGAAGGAGTGTATGCCGATCCTCATCCGCGAGTTCCAGACGAGCGACGAGGAGATGCGCCGCATCGTCCTACAGGTGATCAAACAATGCGCGGGCACCGAAGGTGTGCAGCCTACTTTCATTCGGCAGGAGGTGCTGCCCGAGTTCTTCAAGGCCTTCTGGGTGCGCCGCATGGCGCTCGACCGCCGCAACTACAAGCAGCTGGTCGACACGACGGTCGAGCTCGCCACCAAGGCTGGTGTGTCCGAGATTGTTGGGCGCATTACAAACGACCTCAAGGACGAGAGCGAGCCGTATCGCAAGATGGTTATGGAAACGATCCAAAAGGTCGTGCAGGCCAACGGCGCAGCCGACATCGACGAGCGCATGGAGCAGCTGCTTATTGACGGCATCATTTTCTCCTTCCAGGAGCAGACGCTTGAAGACACCGTCATGTTGGACGGCTTTGCTGCGGTTGTTGGTGCACTTGGGGGGCGTGTCAAACCATATCTGCCCCAGATTGTGTCGATGATTCTGTGGCGCCTGACCAACAAGAGCGCCAAGGTGCGCATGCTGGCGGCCGACCTCACGACCAAGCTCGCGCCAATCATCAAGCAGAACGACGAGGACCAGCTGCTCAGCAAACTTGGTATCGTGCTCTTCGAGCAGCTTGGTGAGGAGTACCCGGATGCTCTGGGGTCCATCATCGCCGCCGAGGCGAGTATCGCCAACGTGGTGGGCATGACCCAGATGAACCCACCAGTGAAGGACCTCTTGCCGCGCATGACGCCCATTCTGCGTAACCGTCACGAGAAGGTTCAGGAGGCGACAATCAACCTCATCGGCCGCATTGCCGACCGTGGCGCTGAATTCGTCGCCGCCAAGGAGTGGATGCGCATCTGTTTCGAGCTGCTTGACCTGTTGAAGGCGCACAAGAAGGCGATCCGCCGTGCGGCCGTCAACTCGTTCGGCTACATCGCCAAGGCCATTGGCCCGCAGGATGTCCTTTCAGTCCTCCTCACCAACCTGAAGGTGCAGGAGCGCCAGTCGCGTGTGCTGTCTACCGTCGCCATCGCCATTGTGGCCGAGACATGTGGACCTTTCACGTGTATCCCGGCCATTTTGAACGAGTACCGCACGCCCGAGCTGAATGTGCGCAACGGTTGTTTGAAGGCGCTGGCCTACGTATTCCAGTACGTCGGCGAAATGAGCAAGGACTACATCCACTCGGTTATCGGGCTCCTCGAGGACTCCCTCACGGACCGCGACCACGTGCACCGCCAGACAGCGTGCGCGATCGTGAAGCACCTGACCATTGGTGTTGCCGGATTGGGGTACGAGGACGCCCTCACACATCTTCTCAACCTTGTGTGGCCGAACATTTTCGAGACCTCACCTCACGTCATCGGCGGCGTGATGGACGCCATTGAAGCTATGCGGATTGGTCTCGGACCGGGCGTCGTGCTCAGCTACGTCCTGCAGGGCCTGTACCACCCCGCGCGCCGCGTGCGCGAGGTGTACTGGCGCATGTACAATACGCTGGTCCTGGGGTCTGTGGACGCCATGGTCCCCTTCCTCCCTGCACTGGGGAGCTCGGCCGACCTGGCTACTGGGCAGGATTACACGCGGCACCATCTCCTCATGTGGATTTAGTGTTGGCAAGGCAGTAGTTACTTTAGACATGTATTATCAGAGGGCATGCATTCATCGACAATTGTCAATGTCGAGGTGAACTGATCTATCTGTACAGGTACAGCTGTCGTAAAATGCCGAGCGAGCTGCGCACGACGTCACTCTGCCCTTATCCGATCAACGCTCCCGATGATCCGACCTCCACCTCCACCCCCCTTGCGACTGCAACGTGCCGCGCTCGTGACACCCCGACTTCCATCTCTTTCACCCAACCTTGATCTTGGCTCCAACTCACATCACTCAACAGACGAATGGATGCTGGCCTCGATGCGCGACGCGCATGATGACGTCGACCCATGGGCCGACGCGGAGGAGGTCGACCTGGGCCACGACCAGCCACCAGCTCCACCTGTACGCCCATCACAATCTCAGCGAAAGGCCAAACCGTTCAAGACGACGCCCCTCACCTCTCTCCCCGCGAAACGCGACCTTGGAGATGGCGAGGGGCCGCGGCGGCGCTCGTCCTACGCCGCATCTGACGCATCGGAGCCGTACGCTGTCGCGTCCGGCTCGGCATACAGCGGCTCGCCATCGAGGAGCACTTCCCACCCCCTCGAGCTTGACATGCACCTCAAGACTCCACCAGAAAAGGGCAAGGGGCGCGCGCGCTCCTCATCTGGCCCCTCTCCCTTATCTCCTCTCGGAGCCTCCCTTTCCCCCCTCTCGGCGTCCACCTCGCCATCCATATCCGCGTCCCGGCAGCGCGCCCCCCAATCCCTCGCATTAGCCGGCCTGGGAGGACTTGGAGGCAACAGCTTGAGCGACTTCCGGGATGTTTCCCGTCCCGGCCTGGCACGCGCAACCTCTGAGACGGAACGCGCCGCTAGCGTCGGCAGCTGGTCCGCTACCAACTCTGATTTTGGCGAGGACGACAGCGAGCTTGTGGATGTTATTGTGCACGCCGTCGGCGGAGGCGAAAGCCTCGCCGGCATTGCGCTGCGGTATGGCATCGAGCTCTCCGTGCTCCGCAAGGCGAATAAGCTGTGGCCGAGCGATCCGTTGCTGCGCTCGCAGCTTTTCGTGCCCCTCGAGAGCTGCAAGGCGACCGCAGACTCATGGATCGAGCGGCACGAGGAGGAAGTGGTGCTTGTACGTCGCCGGAAGCGCCGAAGAGGGTCGGGAAGCGGAACGGCGTCGCCAACCAGTCCGCGCACGCTGAGCTCGGAACCCAGCACGCCGCGTGGCGAACCCCCACGTCTCCCTGATGCACCTGGCTCGCCCCGGCGGAGCGAGGAGCCCAAGACGAGGGAAGAGCTTGAGCGAATCCCCCTCGAGGTTGCGCGCATCTCCGCGTCGCAGCTCAGATTCTTCCCGCACCGGCCTAACCGCGGCCGATCAAGCCTCGAAGATCGACGCATGACTACCGATAACGCGCGCCGTCCCAGAGGCTTGTTTGCGGCGCTCACCCTCGCAGACAGCGACGACGAGTACGAGCCTCGCGCGCCGCACCGCGTTACCGTCCGCAGCGGGGCATACGCAGAGCCGCCCACCTCGCCGAAGAAGGAGGAGCGGAAGGAGAAGCCGAAGGAGAAGAGGAAGAACAAGGTCGTGCGTCTCCGTCCGCCGGTCGCACAACCGCCTCCCCCACCGAATGCTGGAATCGCCAGCCGCATCCAGAACTTCTTCTCTGTCCCTCCGCCTCCGACAAACCTCCCCGCGCCTGCCCTGCCGCCCGCAGAGCGAAGTAACGGTGAAGAGAGGGTACGGTCTCCCGAGCTTGTCGAGATGGATTCGGCGCCTCCGCGGCGGACGGACAAGAAGCGCGATTAGATATGTAGCCAACATGTAAATCCATTATCCTGACCTATTCGTCCACTCTCAAAGTGATCCGCGCCCCTGTGACCACCGGGCAGGAAATATGCTCGCAGACTCAGCGATCCCGCCACTTGCACCGTAACTGCTGCTGTCGCGGAGTTGCTCACAGCCCCTACAGCGCCAGTCCCACCTTGCACCTCCTCCGTCGACCTGCACGCCTCTCTGTTACTGCTCCTCGTCCCCGTCCATGGGATCAGGGATGGTGTAGCTAGGCTCGCCAAAGCTCCCGTCATCACCACGGATGCTGCAGTCAGCTGTGTCCAGAGCTCAAGCGAGCACCCGCGGGAGAAGCAAAGACCCTCACCTGATATACAGCCGCTTCCATCGCGCCCATCCCAAGCTCTTGATGCTCCCTTCGTCGCATACGCGGATACCCGTCGCGCCCTCGGTGTCACGGTCCTCCCACAGCTGGATGTCGTCGGCGCTGCTGGGTGGAGAGGAGGACAGCGCACTGCGCGCTAGTGTCGCGAGAGCGGGAACGAGCTGGGAACGCAAGCTCGCAAGTGTTCTGCTGTCAGCTCCGGTGTGCACGCAGCTCACGTCGCCTCGGGTACTGAGAGCAGCACAGTCGCGCGCTCGATGTGGAATGTGACGTGGTGGACGTCGGAGCGTTTCTGACATCAGCCTCGTGCGTGGTGGTCCACGTACCATTGCTGCGTTCAAGAAACTTGGTCTGATGAGACGAGTGGAATGATGGGACGCGCTCGTTGACATTACGCGAGGTGGAGGCCGCGGATATACTCCGGAAATATAGGGCGGTGCCTGATTTCGCTGGGAGCAATGGTACGCAGCTGCGCTGCATGAAGTCCTCGATTTCTCACCTTAAGACTCGTTGGAATGCTTCAAAGATGCCGTGCCCATATCACAGACGTTATCCAAAGGGTTTTATTGCACTTGAGGTGCTCTTTAGGCCCCGATGGTGGACGAGTATTACCCGGCGAAAAGCACTTCAATAGACGCCGCAGCCACACCTTCTAAAATGCCGGCGTCCTCTCACTCTGCTCCGCACACTGCACACGAACGTCTAGCTGCTTAACCTGTGATATTGCGCTTGTGTTACTAATTTATATCTGTAACTCTAAATCTCGACGACTCCCTCATAATTCTGACGACGATTGGGCGACTGGACGAAGGGATTGGCTGTGTAAAGGACCTACGCGCTGCTTGCCTCTGGAAGTCTCTCGTCGGGCAGCTCATCCTCCTCTTCTTCAATGTCCTTGCCATCAAGCTCATCTTCTTCTGCGATGTCTCCACATACGCCACGGAGAAGGAATTCGCCCAAGCCTTCTCTGTCGGCCTTGCGCTTAGAGCTTGTCTGCTTCTTCTTGCAATCCGAGCAGGGATCTAGTATGCGGGCTGCAGCATTCATGCACAGCTCACGGATACTTCCTGTGCGGCCGGGAGTAAGCTGATTGACGAGCTGCTTCTTCTTGAGGCCGAGCTGGGGTAAGAGAGGGTGTGGGGAGAGACGTACTTCGTCAGCAAGGTCCGCAAGGCTGAGGCTCTTGTAGCCCGCTGTAATAAGGCGGTCGACGAAGATCAGACGCTTTTCAAGCGTCCACTGGCCGGCTTGAGAGCGCTTGGGCGGAGCTACACGAGCTGTAGGAAGAAGAGTGGCAAAGCTCGCTCGTCGGCTGCTCTTGCTGCTGCTCAAGGTGCCGGGAAGATCAAACTTAGGATCCTCGGGGCCACCGGGCTCGGGGGTCGCGGTGCTCGTCTTCGTGGGAGCGTCTGCACGAGACAGCTTTGGGGTGAAGTGGACGTCGAGGCCAACGTGAGCTGCAAGTGCTTGGATCTGCGTGGTCACCTGATCTGAGGCAACATTCGGCATGTTCCCACCAGGGGCCGGGGTGGTAGTAAGGATAGGCGAGCACGAAACACTTGGCGTCATGCTCCGGGTCAGTTGGGGAGTGGGTGCGTTCGAAGGGGGAGTGGCGAAGGGGTGGGCACGAACAGGCGACGGACTCGAAGTCATCCGCGGCGCTGATAGAGAGTGGCTGCTCAACGGCGTTTGGCCAGGAGTCGGAAGATACGTTGGCCGCTCGAACGCGCCCGCATGGGAGTTCCCCAGATTCATATTGGGACGGCGAGGCTGTAGAGGCCCTGGTAGAGGAAGCCCTGCAGATCCCGGATCGGTCGCCCATGTTGGAGCCGATGGTAGGTTGGTCGGGGGCCGCAACGCGTTGAGGTGGACGCCTCCACGCGGGAATGACTCCGACATACCCTCGCTGCCTGAGCTTCCTTCAGCTCCATTTGCGCAAGGGTACTGGTAAGGTTTGAGATGGCTCAACGGGGGCAGACTCATCTCCGACTGTCGAGCGAGGTAGTCAGGGCGGCGGAAAGTAGGCGTAGTAGGGCTCATGTCGCTCTCGGCGTCGTGTACCCAGCTGTATGATCCGTTCCGGCTGGGCCCCTGGTCGAATCGATTGCTCTGGGAGGGGGCAGGGTAGGAGTACTTTCTCTGGTAGCTTTGGCTGCTTTGACCTTGACTATTGTTGTTGGAGAAGAGAGAACCAGTAGGGCTGGGAGTGGCGGGCATTGACTCAAAGCGGGAGGGCTTGTGGTGGCGAAGTGGCACCGGTGTGCGTGCCCCGCCACGGGCGTGGGACGTACGGATGGGGCCTATGTGTGATGGCAGCTGAGATTCGCAGCCCTCTTTGCGATGCGGCAGAGACATGCTCGACGAAGGTGATCCAGACAATGACGCCTGAGACGGACGAGGAAGCGAATGAGGGCTGAAGGTACTGCTGAATCCTCGGGCAAAGGTGGGAGAGGTGTCAACGGTGATGCGGTTGCCGTTTTGGCGGGCGATACTGAATTCGCGCATGGCTGTGTAGTGGTCGTATTTCGGTGATGAATTGCCCCTGGATGACGGGATGGAAGACGGGTGCTGCGTTGCTGAGGCCTCCGTCAAACGCGAGTGCTGGACGATGGAGGAGCTTCGAGGAGCGCCTGAAACTGCGTGGTTCACGTTGAAGCCGGGAGAGGTGGGGGGGAGATGGGAGCCAAAGGGAGGGCTTGGGGAAGACGAGAGACTGGCTGCTGAAGAGACGACGTTTGAGTCGGTGGAAGAGACGAGGTTCGAGATGGCGGAGGAGATATCATCCCTCAAGGGGGTGGGCGAGTTGGTGTCGAGCCCGTTGAGAGAACGGCTCTTCCCCGCGTGTCTGGGCACATGGTGCGAGCGTGGTACGGAGCAGACACTGCGACTGCCGGATGCGGTGTTTTGCCTGTCTCGGAGCAAGCTCGCCGGCGCGAAGTCGTTGCGAGAAGGCGCCGCCGCCGCCTCCGCCTGCCGTCCGAGGTCCGGGGAGTCGTTCACGAGCGACGAGACGGGGAGACCCAGGCGATGAACCACTCTGGTGCCAGCTGTCGTGGTGGCGGCAGTGGTGGCTTGTTCTCGGTGCTTACGCTGCTTCTTGCTCGGCGGCAAGGACGATGCAGAGACGGGAGAGGTGGAGCGCGTCGTTGTCATGGCAGATTGAGTTTGTCAGGGTTGGGTGGTAGTAAGTCATGTACATGCTCGCGCTCCTTTATCTTGCATGGCATAGTAGCAACGATGACTCTCACACGTACCCCTGTTCTCGCACCAAGGAGAGAGTGCCAGCAAGTCATCATTAACAGGTGGGGGCGAGCTGGCTCCCAGAGAGCTTTCACCCACACACACGCCACCCATCTCACGCCACCACTTGCCGGCGCAGGCGCCATGTATGGGAGCTATCCATCCACCAGTGCTAGAGCTTGACTCTCATTAGACAGGTGTGCCGTAATGAGTCTCAGCGGGTGCTTCGCGTCGGAGTTGCGGTGCAAAGGGGGTGAGAGGTGGAAGGCGGCATCCCGATAAGTCGGCGAAGCGGCCGTGCACTTGGCGCACGCCGAGGCACGCGCTGTGAGGGTGACTTGCCTTGGTCCAGTGGCGCGCGCTGGACAAGGGAATTTGCCACCGCGGAACCAGGTCAAAGGCTTGAAAGCTGTCAGGGGATGGAAACAGAAGCAGAGATACATGGCTTCATGTCGCATATGGTGTGAGATCGGGAGAGGTGTTTTCGTGTTGGTAACGCGAAGTCGGATTGTGGCGCTTCACACGTGCTCAGCGCGCACTCGAGCCTAAACCATTACCCTAAAAACTGCCTCCAAAATCCTAGCTGTTCGACACTGAAGGGATCCCATCGATAAATCGATATCATATGAATTGGGACGCATTAGAGAACTTTGTCAACCGGGTGCGCCATAGATGTGTGCTACACGCAATCTGATGTGCTCTCATGCTCGTTCAAGTCTTGAATAGCGTGTTGTGAAAGATATACAGTCTCACATATCCCGCGCCCTGATCACTTGCATGTCTTCATTATGTCAACCATTATACACGGTCCACCATCATCTCCCTCGGAACCAACAGCATCCGAAACAACTCGCTAACTGCCACAATGGAAACCCAGGTCTGCTCCTTTCGCCCCTTCATCGCTCCGTTCCGAATGTAGCTTCCTTCATTTCCGTGTTACCATTGTCTTGCTCCTGCGTCCCTCATAGTATGTATTGGAAGCCTCAGGATCGCTACAACTCCAGAGACATAGGGTGCCTATACAGCCCAAGCCTGTGAGGTACAGTCACGCCATTGCTCCCCAGCCCTCACGCCCCTTGCTCTGTGATCACACGAAGATTGAACTAATGACTTCCATGACGGCGATGCTCTTTGAGTGTCGCGACCTGTCCCCTTTTTAAACAGAAGGTGTGCAGCTCAATCCGAGACAACAGGCATTTCAAGTCCTGGTTGGACTCAGCCTTGCCCAGACTGGTCCAAACTTCCAGTCAGGTGATATCGAGCAATGCTTTAGCTGACGCTTTCGTTGGTCAAGTCACCAGACATCATTGCCCCCTTCTGGGGGCGTACCGCCTGCAGTCTTCGCCTCTCCGTGGCCTTTAGCTCTCATTGAATGTTGCGATACTCGAAACTTGCATGCGGAAGAATATGACAGTGCTGGAAGCGTCCTAACTCGCTTGACGCCCGTTCATCTGCAGACCCATGACGCTGGGAAAATTCCTTGTGGTCCCTACATCCGACATGAAATCGAAGGAGGGTCAGCAGTTTGCATCGATTATTGAAAGGAACAGAAGGAAATTGCCACCCTGAGATAGCACTCAGGCGAGTGAGTCAATCACTCGGACCAGGGGGATCGGCGCACGGTGACCTGAAACGACAAACGACGTGGATCGTCTTTAGATCCGATGCGCGATTGTTTTATATTCAGGGAACCCAACGAACATATGCGTGCATCGAACCTCCTCGCCGATGTTGCGCTTCCTGCGCGGTTAGAAAACTGCGTTGGAGTGTGCTAAAACAACCGAGTTTAGCGGAACTGGCATCTGATTGAGGGCGAGGCGCCCCGAGTTCGCGTCGCCCAGAGATATTCTGCAGGGAGCGGACTGCTTTCGCCGCTGAGGTATTACCTCACCGGAGTTGAGAGATGCCTCTTCCGCATACCGAAAGCCGGGAGCGACGTGTTTGCGGCGTCGCGGACTTAGATGATGGCGGCTGGCAGCCACTGCCGTGGAATGGAATCCACTGCAAGGCTCCTGCTGCAGCCATGGCGTACTCACTCGCCCCCATGTGCTCCAGTGGAGCTAGCGGGGAGATCTACGCGATCTTTGCGACACATCGCGAAGGCTCATTAAGATCGCCGAAGCATGCGCCCACTTCTAGGGCGGAGGCTGTCTAGGTTTATGCGGGGCCAGTGGCCAGTGCCAAGGCGGGGCCGAGGTTAGCGAGCGTGGCTCTGTGGATCTCTGGGAACTGTGAGGTAAGGTAGTGACCAGCATGACCAGCGATCAGTGCTTGCGCCACCGCAAACACTAAAATGCACCAAGGAAAGTTAGGATACGCCTCTCCGTTATCCGTGATCGCCAAGAGCGGCGGACTTCCCGGTTTCTTGAGCGGTAATGCCCTATATGCTCACGCCCTTACGCCACTGCACGGGCACCTCTTTCGGGTGCACATGGGGCGGAAAGGGAGCGAGAGGTGGCGAGGTGATGTTCACGTGAGAACAAAGCCCGTTGAACAACTGAGAAGTAATCCGGACGCTGCCTCAAGCACCAGACCAGACAGGTGACCGTGGCAGAACAAACAGGGCGGGGCGGCAGTAACTCTCGCCCACCTGAGCGAAGTCTCGCACCGATTAGTCGCCATGCTCCGACCCTGCGCAGAGCACGCTGCTGCACCTTTCTGCATCCGAGCTCTACGACGCACCTCCCTTTTTCGCGCGCACAAGTTCGATGGCCATGCGACGGATGTTAGAGCGACCGTTCTTTAGCTGGTCTACGACCTGGCTTTTGTTGACGCCGAGCTGGCGTCAGCCAGATCCCGTGGGTCATCAGCGTCTCTCAGGATACCTCGAGATGTACTGTCTCGTCATCCCACGAACGCACCTTGCTGGCCACAGCGTCCATGTCCATGGCCTTTCCCGCCGCCTCGAACACGGCCTCCACCAGCGATGCGCTGCGCTCCGCATCCCACATAGTCTTGCTGCCGGAGCCGCCGCTACTCGTCCCGCCGTTCGCTCTGGCCGTTTTCCGCGCCTTGGGCTCCTTTTTGACCTTGGCCTTCTTTGGGACCGGGGAGGGACTGCGCTCGGGTTCGTACTCGCCAGCCTCAGGGGTGCGGGCGTCCGGTGTGTAGTCGTCTGAGTCGTCGTGCTCGCGCTTGACCATAGTAGATGTAGTGATTGGGTTGGTGAGTGGTGTGAAGTAACAAAGACTGGTGATGCTGCAATGTATGTGTGGTGCATGCTCATCGGCAGTTAAACGTTGCGCCCCTCGCCCCATGTCCTTCCTGTCCAGTGGTGAACCGCAAAATTCATAGATGATCCCAAGCTGCGCTAGACGTCACAGAGATACTCCTTCCTGCTCCTACATGCCCGGCCACCGTCATGCTCCGCCGCCGCCCTTCTTTGCGCGCACGAGATCGATCGCGAGTTTACGCAGATTGTTGCGATTTTTGACGAGCTGGTCGCCGACCGACTGCTTGCTCACGCCCAGCTTAGGTCAGCGAGCAACGAGTTACGTGCCTGTGCTGCCATAGCATCCTTGTCAATGCTCTTAGCTGCGGCGTCGAAAACGGCCTCGAGAAGAGTGAGAGTTCGCGCGGTGTCCCACCCTTTGCTCTTGCCACCTCTATTGGCGCTACCAACTCCTTTGGCCGTGTTGATAGCGCGCGACTTCTTGGGAGGGGCGGGTTCGGGGCTCGGCGAACGGGGAGGGGTAACGGACTCAGAGCGCTCGCGCTTGACCATGATATGCTGCAGCAAGCTGTCTTGTGAGAAGAGAGGATAAGAGAGGTGAGAAACAGGGACGCGAGCAGTCCATTCCACGAAGCTTAGCGAGCACGAGGTCAGCTGGCTCTCGCGCCGATTGACACGGCGGTTGCGAGAGGATGCATTGCGCCCTCCCCGACGTACCTAGTGACATTATTAGCTCTGTCTACTCCGGCTCCTCAAATTGCCCTTCCGGGTCCATGCGCGCCGTGAGTTGTGCGTACGCTGCTAAGAGCTGTTCACGCGGGATGTCAAACGCTTCTCGGAACGGCCCGAGACGTTTGAGAAGCTTGCGGTCCGTCTCCTTGTCCATATCTTGCGGAGCGATTTGCACGATCTTCTCCCATTGCTTACGCCCCTTGTCGAACTCGTTCCGTAGGCACAGCCGGAATGTGTAGTCTGCCGTCAGCTCCTTTCGCATTTCCACGGCACGACTCACTTCGCCCACCCGTTGTCTGGATGCACTTGTAGATCCGCTCATCGCCCGTTTTTGGATCATGCCGCACCTGCGCGTCAAGGATATCGAGGCCAGTCAGCTCCTCGTACAGGCGCACAGAGAGGCTGTGGACCTCGTTCACGATAGGCTTCGCAGGCGGCTCGGCCGAGCGGCGCATGTGGGCAGCGGACTCCTGCAGTTTGCGCGAGTGTGCGACCTCCTCCTGGTACTCGCGCTGAAGTGCAGCAACTATCGTAAGCACAGCTGATGTTATGTGGCTCACTCTCTCCATCCTTCGTCTTGACGACATCGCGCAGCTTGTGCACCTCGTCCCGCAGTGCACGTTGATCCATGCGTTCAAGCTTTGCGTCGAACGTTGGCGGAGCAGCTGCTGCCTCAGCCCGTGCAAGCGCTTCCTGTGAAGCGGCAAGTGCTTCCTCCAGCGACTTGACTTTCGCGGTTTGTTTCTCGTAAAGCGCTTCTTGGCTCTGAATGACCGCGGTTTGCGCTTTTCGTCAGCTTCTGTTGAGGCTTTGCTCACCCTTGGCCCTGGCCTCTGCAGACTCCTTGAACTTGACCAGCAGCGCTTCAGCTCCGGAGACGCGCAAGCTGGACAGCTCATCGAACTGTTTTGCGAAAGTGTCGCGTTCTTTCTCCAATTGTTCGCACTTGGCTTGCAACTGCTAGGTCAGTGCCAACTGGGCGGAGCTGACGTGAGTTGGACTCACTCGCTGAAGATCGTCGCCGTTTCGGGTGGACTTCGAGAGCGCCTGAATGACATTTGGAGACGTTCTTGATTGGACCTGCTCCTCGACGTCCATCGCACCGTCGGCCACCATCTCGGAAAGAGCCCTCTCCTTTTTGGTGCTCTTCGGTGGTCGCCCGCCCCTCTTAACAGCCTTCACGGGTTCATCTTCAATCATGTCTACAGGTGAGCAGCGGCATACAGCTTTACTTGCTGTCAAAGTCGTCCTCAAGACCGCTCGAGATCTTGGTGGCGATGACTTTCGGTGGCGCATTCTCCTTTCCGCGTTTGCTGGAGGGAGCTTTCGGTGGCATTACAAGGGTTGAGGAAAGAGGGGGTCGAGAGTGTGGGATCAATTCCTTTGGTATCACGGCGACGCTAGAGTGGGGATGGTTGTAGGATCGGTCTGTTGAATGACAACTAGCTGGTGTACAGATGCGTTATCGAGTTTGTCATCACTGACTGGTTGGTCTCGTTTGTTTGTTTGTCCCAAAAGACAGCCGCGCGGCAACACTATTATGACCTCCCACTTAACCACATTTCCCCGTGGGGCATAGGTTGACGTCAACCCCGACGTCCTCACCACCTCCCTCCGGCCGAGATGCAATGCAGCTCATCTTCCCTCTGCATCGCTCACCTCAGCGTCCAGCTCAATCATGGAACCGCCGCCACGTCCTTCGCTGCCCTCAGGTAGCTCGGCTTCATTATCTGGCTTCCAGTCCGCGTCTTCGCTCCCTCGCTCGTCTCATGCCCCGTCTCTCAGCTCTAATCGCAACGCGTCTGGCAACCTTCCTCCGACTCCCAAGCAGGCCGTGCCGCCCCCGACCGAGGTGGACAAGGGAGCGAACGTATTGGGAACCGTCGCGTCTGCCTCTTCTAAGCCCGTGAACAGGCCCGCTGCGAGCAAGAATGCGATCGTGTACAGCGTACTTCAGGTGAGGAGGGGCTTATTAAACATGTTGACACTTTAGCGACGAAACCCGATCCTTCCTCTTATCCGCAACGTGGGGCTTGAGATCGGGGATATCGTGGTCGACTACCAGGTCGGGGCGCATAACGGCGTGCTCTTCTTGAGGCGAGTTCCGCAGCGTTGAGCATCAACTGACACCTAGCCTGAAGTATCATCGCCTGCACCCAGAGTACATCCACACCCGTATTGAGAAGATGAGAAACGCCTACAACCTTCGCATTTTGTTGGTTCTGTGTGACATTGTACGTACTATACGCTTGAGTCAAACGGCAGCTGATACTAGAACGAGCATCAGCAGCCCCTTCGCGAACTTAGCAAGGTCGCGGTCATCAACGAAATGACGATTCTGGTGGCGTTCTCGTGGGTGGGTTTATGGTCTTTGCTAATTGAACCAGAAGCGAGGAGGCGGCACAGTATTTGACAACACTCAAAGCCTATGAACATAAGTCGGCGGACACGCTGAAGGAAAAGGTGCATCAGACCTACCCTTCACAGCTAGAACACGTCCTTACAAGTGGCCGCAAGGTCAACAAGTCGAATGCAGAGGCCATCGCAGCTCAGTTCGGGGTGAGCTGTTTCACTTTTGAGCTGACGTTAGTCGTTCCACAACATCGTCAGGCAATCCAACCACTCACTCAGCGCCGTCAAAGGTCTGGGCAAGGTCAAAATTGTCTCCCTCCTCGACGCATTCAACAAGCCCTTCGTGGCAGGCCAGGGAGCGACCTCGCAAACACGTATGGCGGTCACCACCCTGACGCAAAACGCGGAGTCCGAAGCTGTAGTCACGACAAAAGCCCCAGTGGACAATGGTATCCAACCCGCCCAATCTCCAGACTTCCGGCCGCTAACCCCGCCGACGCCCACGCGGCCGCGAGACCAAGGGCCAAGCCGGTCACCAAGTTTAGAGCCAGATGATTCTACGCGTCAGCAGAGCGATAGTGTGTGGCACGACCCACTCGACGACGACGACGACGACGACGACGAGACGGAGGATGTGCGTATTTCGAAGCGACAGCGCGTGTGACCTTGCAGTGAGTCGCAACGGTTGTCTTCATTGTGGCTCCGACGAGGATGGCCACTTGCCATTCATTTGGATATCCGATCGCCACAACAAGCGTAACCATCGCCGCAATGCGCACGACACGTGCGTTGGCCAGTGCCTCAACCGATCGCACATCATGGTGGTCTCACAACCTGATCTTGATGACGATATCCAGTACGCGTAGTCAAGCTTACTGGCATGAGTATATCCGAGCTGTCACCTTGTGTTGTGTGAAGGCATTCAAGCCCGGGTACCCCAGGCTGCTTCCCTGACAAGGGGTAGGGTATGTGACTGCATGGCAGAGTGCACGGGGAGTGGCTTGAGTGGCTGTAGCGCTTGGGGGAGGGCAGTACCTGCTTGCAGGTGCACACACGACAGTGGGCCTGACCCTTCGACTGCCATCTTGAGCTGAAATGAGGCATGTGGTGGCGGTATGCGTACACTGCACCCTGTTTGCTCACTCGGAGCGAGCAGCGAGCAACACCTGGACTGCAGCTGAGGAATGCCAGCTCAACCAGCAGTGTGGGGTGCCAGTGGCGCCCGCAGCCGCAACGTGCCTTTGTAAGATTAATGAGATGCTCCACTTCCATTCCACAGCAAGGTATGCTGGTCTCGACATCCACCTTCTTGTGCAGCGGGACATCTGACCCAACGGCCAATCTCCGATTATTTGTCACTCACGACACTTTACCAAGATCAGAGCGGACCCGACAGCCACATCCTGCCGTGGGCCCCTCTGTGAGCACCTAATCCTTACCCGACCTCATAGCCGATGTCGACTCGCCCGACATTTGAACCTCTTGACATACTACTAACTGCGCACGTCCTCTGCGCGCTCCCTCTCGCCGCCCCGTTCTAGCTACAAGCGGCTGGGCGTATCTCTCGTCTCCACAAGCAACAAGCCGCTGCCGTCCTTGGTCAGCAGGAATTTTCAAATTGCGGTATCGAGTCCAGGCCGCAGTGGCAGCGCCACCGCCACCGCCACTGCCACAGCGACCGCCACCGCCGTGCTGCGTCTTGCCGGCTTTTGCCCTGTGCTTAGTGCAGTTGCAGACAGGCACGGCGATCTCAATCATGGAATGCAGGTTGATATCCACTTCTCTACATTCACTGGGCAGCAGATCGGGGTTGCGGGGAGGGGCGGACTTGTTCGGCAGGCGCTGCGACTCAACTGGAGACAGGTCACGGACCTGTGGGCCGACGCCCAACAGGAGTTCCGCAGCGTCTGCCGTCGTCTGATCTCTGGGCAGCTTTCCGACGCGGGAGCGACCTGGAAAAGCAATGACCTCGTGAGCGGATAGTCATCACTACCGCGGCCAGCACAAGCTTCTGTTTGCAAGACTGCAGAAGTGTGCGGCGGCAACCTCCGTCATTTAGCCGGCTGTCAGGCTCTGTCGTGGGCTCGCCACTGGTCGTGCACCACGGACAGCGAGCCTAGCGAGATGCGGGAACCTCACAGCTGCCGTGCCGAACACCGCCTCTGACGCTCCCAGTACCTAGCTCGCCAACATGAACGGCCCCGCAAGGCCGACTCGAGATCCGCCACCACATCTCGGACCTCGCCCAACCTGTTGGTACCCCCGAACTGCTGACCGCCGGCGACCCCGGCAAACTGGCTCCTAACGCTATGAATGCAACCCCGATCAGGTCCGGAAGCAGGCACTACGCGCACCCTGCACCACACATCCTCCACGTCGCGTTGCAGTAACGGCATTCCTTGTTCCCCTTTCGCATTGCATTCTTCCCCATGGGTTTGCGGTTTGAAGAAGCACGTCGCTGCTCGACTTCCTATGAGAAGCCAGCGGGGAAATGGCGAGCGGCCGGCGCGCTGCCTACTTATCTATCGTGTCCTAGATACCTGGTACGCAGCTCCGTTGCCTGCTCAGCTGTTCAGGTAGGGTATAGATATGTGACCTCAGATCAGGCGGGATGCAGGGGATGCCACGGTTGTGGTGAAGATCGCCTTGCAGCAGATCTCTCGACCCCTGTCGCTCGGTCTCGCGTTCCCTGGCCGGTTTCAGCCATGCAGCCACGCCGCACACCACACATTATCGAAAGAAGCGAATGGCAGAGTGTACCACAACGCCGGAACGGGGGGCGGTATGCCGGCGTCGCTGCTGCAGAGCAGGCGCGTTTTGCATGAACAAAGGACGCGTTCAGGCACACGCCGCGGCACGCCCAGGCTCTAGGCACTGACGAAGCGGACAGAGCGAACAGAGCACTACTCTGAGGAGGAATATCCGGCTCAGCAGGGCAGAGGCAACTGCTGTATGGCCTGCGGGCTTGCCTGCGTGCAGGTTGGCGTCCTGCTGTTTCTCTCTCTCGTCTGCAGTAGACGATGCAGCGGTCCATGGGAATGGCCGCCTCGCCGCTCGCGTCCCGGACGCCAAGCCGGTGATGCCGCTCAAGACCTCGCCTGACGGGCACGCCTCGAACGGGCCGCCCAGCCCCCACCACGCCCCACCACGCCACCCAGTCAGTAGCCTGTTGCTGCTGATAATGCTCTGGGGCACCAACCAGAAAACTGGAACTGCAGTTCTCGGCATGTTCCCCGGACAGGGTATGGTAATGAGGTGGCGGATCAACGGATCCGACCCGTAGCAGCTTCGAACATGAACCACGAACTGCATACCGCACGCTTTGCTGGATCTGAGGATCGTGTGTACCATCAGCCAGAGCGAGATCAGTTCCACTCGTGGCCATGGGCGTGCCCCAGCTGTCCCCCCTTCTAGAGGCCAGAGGCTCAAGGCGAGAGACACTTGCCGCGTGCTCGCGCTTGGCAACTGTCCTGGATGCGGCAATGGCGGCGGCCTATGCGCTGAGCCTGGCGTCGCGCTCGAGCAGCACGGTATGTCATGGGACAGGCGGCTGAGGCCAGCAATCCAACATGCTCAGGCAGAGTGCGGTGACGCTCAGCGCATTGTAGCAGGAGGCCAGACTCTTCCAGACGCAGCATCGACAAGATTAAGACGCGGATCAGCTGCATCCATCTTGCGCCCTCTCTTCAACTCCATCTACACTCATCTCCCGACAAGCCTCACCCATCTGCTGCGGCAAGTGCGACAGAATTTCGCTTCCAGTGCAAGGAGTGTGTACCACGCTCCCATGGAACGCAATGAACGCTAACGTGGTGCAGCACTCCATCTTCACTACATCCCCGCGATTGGTCGTACACTGACCACCCCACCGGCGCCACTAGCCCTCACTCCGCACCCCGCAGCCTTCTCTTACCATCGATTCACCGGCCCTTTCCAATGCAAGCGCGCCGATGGTCTCACGACCAGTATGCCCCGGCGTACGTCCAGGGTGATATGGACGTCGATCGGCTCGAGGAGGTAATGGGAGGCATGGGAGGGTGGGGTGGCGCTTGGTCGTTGATCAGCCCTGGAATCAACAGCCAACTGCCCGATGATCCCGGTGAGGGCGGCTGGAGTGGGACTCGCTTCAACACCCAGAGTGTGTCCGCCACTTCCTCAACGTCAGGCCTTGGTATGGTGGGCCTCGGTCTCGGGCTTGCTCTGGACCAGAATGGGTGTGGTGTTGGTGTTGATGGGAGTGTGGGTGTTGAAGATCGTTTTGCCGCGTGGTCGTTTCCCACACCACCACCTTCGCGACGACTTTGTTTCGCTCCAACCTGCGACCCACCGCCACCACCTGCCACTGCCGATCCCCAGACTCATCCTCCTCCTCCTCTCCAACAAATCTCTCTACATCCCCAACACCAACCCTCCAACACTACCACCCTAAATCGTCCACGCACAGCACCTGCCTTTAGCGGACTCACCCGAGCCTCAGCACCGTGGGCACCCCTCGGCCCCTCCCAGCAAACGCTATTGCGTGCCACTCCTGCGTTTGCCTTCGCCGTACCTGAGTTGGTCGTGGAGGAGCTCCCCGACACCTGGTCAACTCAAACGTGCCCCCCTACATATGCAGTGATCAATTCGCCAGAGGTCACGTACCCCCTTCAAGCCCAAGTCCACCCTACCGCTCTCCCAACTCCGACCAACGCAATTGACTCCTGGCTTTACACTCCCCCTGCTACGCAACAGTCAGCGCGTACCACCCAATTTGCTCCCGCACCACTGGCGGCGCTTCCGAACGCACCGATGGCGGACTCCGCATCTGCCCCAGACCACTCTATTCCTTCGTCATTGCAAGGAGTCGCAGCCACAGAGGAGTCGAGCTCAGGATCGCAAACAGGCGCATCCTTCCCCGTGCCGATGACTTCACCGGTGCTGTCGGATTCTCTGTCGTCGCCGAGAATTGAGACACCACGCGACTTGTGCCAGCTCCCCGATGGTGTTTATGAGCTGGACGCCGCCGGACCCACCGCCCAAACAGAGCCAGTTGGCACAGACATACAGTGAGTGTCGTGTTTCGGTTTCCAGAAGAGGGTTCTGCACGTTCGAAGGCCCGTGGGGTGGGTGTTGCATGTGCGTGTACAGATTCTGGCGAGTAGGCGAGCGAGAGGGGCGCTCTCGAGGGCAGCAAGGGCGGTGAGGGCGCTACCAAGGTGGTGCGCAAAGCGTGTGGGAGCGTGTCAGTCTGCGAAATGTGCGAAAGGTGCGGTGTGTGTCGTGTGCCAGGGGATTGAGGAATGCCACGCGGTTGAAGCCGAATGTGGCGCAATTCTTTGAGTTGGTAAGCCAACTTGCGATGTCGCGCCAACAACACCATCCTGTTGCACCTCATGGATCAACGGCGGTTTCTTGTACGACAGGCTTGATCGGATGGTGAATGCGCAGACGCACGTTGGACAATGGTCGTGCACTTCCGAGCCGGGATCATACCGAGGGGCGCTAGAAGTATTGTGTGTGTGTGCTGCGCCAGCGCCCTCTTCCACCGCTTTTCCGCTCTCACGCACATCCCATTCCAAATGGATACTAGCACACAGCTCTCGACCGTGCACTTGGATCCGTCGTTATGCCGGCTGCCTTCCACCGTCTGCTGGTCGTTTGAGGGCACGAGGGGCAATGAGGCAAAAGAGAGGGTTTGAGAGGCCGCGGGGCACGTTGCCCCCCACTAAATCAAAGCCAGGCATACCTCTTCATGCTCCTCTGGTGCTGCTATCGGCATTTGAGGAATGGATCGGCCGAGGCTGGCTTCTTCTGCCTCGAGGAGATTCTACGAGTAGGAGTGGTGCGCAACGCGAGAGCAGCAGGTTGCTGTGCTCGTGGTGGGTCTGGTGGGAGGCCAAGAGTCGCCACCGCCACTCGAGAACACAGATGTGGGGGACAGAACACACAGTGCACGTACTCTCGTACGCTCATAGGCCGTAGAGCTCCCAGGCAACTGCCCATGAGCACGAGACGATTGGTCGTGGGAACCTCACCAGCGGGGCTGACGATCAGGAGGAAATGCTCGCTTCCTGTGCGCCGCCTCGATTCGCCCCACGGGTCCAGACAGACATCATCACTCTCGACTGTCACATCGGCCTCAACTTGCATCATTACCAACCACCTGGGCACCGGTAACGACGAGCTCTCTGTGCCCACCCACACGCCCAGCAACATAAACACAATTACCCACACGCCCACATCCTTTGGGCAACTCTCTCTATCTCTGTCCCCATCCACTCACCAGCAACATCAGCAACAACTGGTGCGCCGATCAATGGGCACCTCGCCAGAGCACACCTCGACGTTCGACGCTACCTCAAACCCTCTTGCGACGCAAGTGACCATGTCCGCCACCACAGCCTACCAGCCCTCGCCCGTCACACCCAACAACGCCCTTATTGCCGCACCCAGCTCAAGCAACAACACATCCCCACTTATCCCCTCGCTCAATACGGCCGCTGCACACTCAGTGTATCCCATGGTCTCCCAATCTGGTGCGCCCGGCAACTCCTCTGGCAATTTTGCCACCGGCAACAATGGCTCTTCGCAGCCTTCGCAAGGATCGTCGCTCCCTCCCATGGTTGTTACCGAGCCGGGCATCGCGGCTACCACCTTCTACGGGGCGCCAGCTGCTCGCCCGTATCCCACTCAGACGGCCATGTACCCCCAGCCGCAGGCTCATGCCTACCACCACCAGTCAAACCAAGGTCAGCATCAGTCCCAGTACACTGTCCAGACAAACAACGGCCCGCATCAAGCATACAATGACAGCCAGTACGCCTCGCCGACTTATACCTCCTCCACAGCCGGATACCCTCAGCCGACCACCCCCGTACACCCTTCCTACGCTGCTGGCTACGGCCATGGTCGTTCCGACAGCATGGGGTCGTGGCACGCCCCCTCTGAAACCTACGATTACGTTCGCCACACCAGCATTTCCAGTAGTGCAGAGGGTGGGCGTGCTAGCGGCAAGGGCGAGCCTTTCCTGATGGCCGACGAGGAGGAGCTCCCACGTCCGGCTCCCTCGTACGCAGCACTCATTGGTGAGGCTCTATTGCTTGCGGACCCTCCGCACCAGCTATATGTTTCGGAAATTTCCGACTCCATCAAGGCTCGGTACCCTTGTGAGTTTAGGTGTGGCACATTCACGTGCCTTTCGATTCGTTCTATCTGACCTTCTCAGTCTACCGCCAGTTCCCATCGAAGATTTACAATGGCGTCCGACACCAAACATCGATGTGCAAAGCCTTTGTCAAAATCCCCCGTCCCTTTGGGGACCAGTCGGGGGGTGCTCGGAAGTGGGCCATCCGCGCCGGCTGTCAGACCTGGTTCCGCGACGGTGACTACCACCCACCCATCTCGCCGCCCTCCACGACGCACAACAAGAACCGTGGTGGTAAGAAACGCTCGACGGGCAACAGCAAGCAGCTCGCCATCGGACACGACGCCCTGAGCCCCAATCTGTCGTCTGTCAACGGGCCGTCGGATGGCCCCCCCTGGGACCCCGTCCGTCACCCCCTGCCTTGGCTGGCACGCTTCCGCGCCAGCCGCCTCGGACCTCAGCAGCAGGTGCAAGAGCAGCAGCTTATTCCTCGCGCGCAACCTGCTCCGCCTCAGACCAATTATGGTCTGATTCCCTCCCAGTACGCCCAGCAGCCTTCGGCTTACGCAATGACGCCCACGTACACGCACCAGCAGCAGTACTACGGTGGCGGCAGCGGCGACTGGGGTGCGTACCAGCATTCTGCCGCACACTACTATGCTTCCCCGAGCGAGCACGGTGGCAACTGGCGCCCGCCATCCTCAAACTTCAATATCAACGAGGCCCCGTTTCCTCGCTCTCGCCCCGCCATGCTGAACTCGGACGAAGCTACGCGCGAAGACGCCCACCCACACTCACGAGGTCACCTGTCGCCTCACCCTGAGGGCGAGTATCAATTTAACGACGGTCAGTATCCCAAGCGCGAGACGAGCACCCCTCTTTCGTCGCCGCCTCCTGGGGCCGACACGAGCGACGCTTGAGCACCGTCCGGCCTCTCGCCGTCGCGACAATCTCCCAACCCCAAGTAACCCACTGTACATAGCATCTGAAGTCAATTGTCCCGGCTCGATGGCCTCGCGACCTCATCTCCTCATCTCCCCATCAATCCATCCCTACCTCAATCAGTTGATCCATCGCTCCGAGGGACTTGTATGTATGTAACACCTCACTATCCCGCCCCTCGAACCCGCTCCGCAATCAAGCGAGCCCTATTCAAAGTCGGTCATCTCAAGGTCAACTAGCTTCGTGCTGTCACCGTCTACCGCCGCAAGTCACTATTCGTTCGCCCGCCCGGGTTTCCGGTCTCTTCTGGATGGCGTGGTTGTATTTAGCATGCACTGGTCGTGATATTACGGTGGCGGCGAATCCAGGGTGACATGAAACATGTGGCGTTCACTTTGATCTACAGTACTTCTCCATGGACCTGCCCAGTCAGCCGATTATGATGAGTGTCGGACATCGGGACGCCCTCTCGATGGCCACTTGTCACAAGTTGCGTGTACAATTTACAGCACAGTGGCACAACGGTTCCATCCCGAATTGACACAGATACAGACACACGGGCAGCCGGGTGCGTACGAAATACGGAAGGTGTTGCAGTTACCAGATTTCCACGTCACAGCCTTTCCGAGATCTTGAATGGCTTCTCTGAAGGCTGTTCGTACGCTGCCACTCAAGGCCGGAGGCTCGAGGCGCCGCACTGCCTCAGGCCACCCGGAGCCCAAGAATCCTGCCTCCAGGCGATTCATGCACTCCGCGGCTGTCAATCACCAGCCATCAACAAAATTTCAGTGGGACATCTGTCACCGCGCCGTGCTCTCCAAGCCGGGGAGGGGGAGACGTAGCCATCATGACGCTCGGAATGATCGGATGTTGAAAGTGGCGTCTCCGGCTTCCCGAGTCTTCCGTGGCGTGGCGGTGCGCTTGGCAGGAACAGAAGCTTCACTGCGAGCTGCTTCTCGTGCCACCGACGACGACGACGACGGACAGTGGTGACAAGCTTGTGAAACGCGCAGCATAGACTCGCGGTCACGCAGAATACAGCGCACAGAGAGACGGATCTACACCTTGGCCGGTATCGATGCGCTTGGATGTGGGGCGTCGCGCAATCAAAGCACTGACTGTAGCTGGAGTCCTCCCTCCCCAATCATCCGCCTTCGGTCGCTTCTTCGCTTCTCTACCATAATATTCTCATTTCTTCTGGTTCCATCCCGCTCCCTCTGACGATTCGTTCATCTACTCGCCTCATTTCTCCCCGACGTGCGCCTAAAGAGGTCGACGCGCTCCTTCCCTCCCCTCCAAGTCCTCTTGAAGGGGAACAGATTTCCACTCCCATCAAACCCCAGACCGAGGCCAAGGTGCCGGCCTCGAGGACTGAGTACACTGTCTCGTACATCGACGAGAAAAAGTTTGAGCGGGCCAAGGGCATGGTCTTCCACGCCTGCTCGCCACTTTTTCCACTCCTGTTCGCCACCTTGTCCTGGTTGCCACGGCCACCTCCACCCTCCAACGTTTGAGAGCAGTGGGCCGCCCCATCCTCGGGACGCACTCGAAGGAGTTGGTCGAGTGGGTCGCCGATCTCCTGAAGTTGAGCGGAGCGTGGAGCAAGTGGGCCCCGAGCAGCAGTCGGACATTGAGTATTGGGAGAAGCAGCGTTACGACAAGACTCCCAACCATCTCCGTGGCGACCCTTAACTTTTCTGAGCCTTCAAGGACGTGTAGTACGATCCGTCTTCGGATATACTGTGAAATAGAAGCAAATTACTCCGAAACCACGCCAAATCATGTGTAGGATACAGGGACCAGTGATGACCGCTCAACTCATGGTAATGCGGCGACGATAGGACCACCAGGTAGCCAGAAGCACAGTATCTATGCAAATATGCATGCAGTACAGGACATTCTACAGCATCGCGCAGCAGATTCTAGAAGCGTAGATAGCAAATTTCCAATAGAGCTGAAGTCAGTCGTGTTCCACGAGTTCTGCAGACTTGACTCACGGAATCCAAGCATGAGGCCGGCCCAAAAGATGATGTTTCCGAGCGTGCGATTGCGCTTGACGGCCGGCAGGCGGGAGATCATGATCATGGGCAGCTGTATCATCTGGTGTAAGCGTGAGTGTGCCAAGAGTGCCCGGGCAAGCCCGGGAGACCGGGCAGCCGATGCCGTGAGATGCTCACCTGCATAAGGAAGAGGTAGGGACGGATCTTCTTGCTGACGACGGCCATGACGAGCTCGTGGCACAGGGCAGAGAGGAGGAAGGTGAAGAATGTGGCGCCCCACCGGCCGAGGCGGAGTCCATGACGGCTGGAGGCGTAGACGTGCCGGAGAAGGAAAGTGTGCACCGGCTTGTTCCACTTGCGCGAGAACTCGTCCCAGGATGTCGAGTTCCACCAGTCTTGGTAGAATTCGCGGTCCGCAAAGTACGACAATTCGGCGAACCCTGTGCACACGCACTCGAAGATGATGTAGAAGATCAGAAGGAAATTAATGATCATGGGAATGGCGAGTTGGGCAAAAGTCTGAATAAGATTGTCTCCAGGTTTGGGCGAGTACGGCATAATGTAATGCTCGGTGACGGTGTAAATGAGGCTGAAAGTGCCAAAGGTCGCGAACACCTTCTCGAGGACAAACAGCGGGCGCATTGTGCTGGTCCGCGGGTATTCGAGCTGGTATACCAGGGTAGGGAAGAACATGAATTCGATGAAGTGCTTGTAGGTGACGTTCTGAGGCCAGACGAGACCGCGCTCACCGTTTGAGCACAGCTCGTCGCTCATCTCGTCAATATTGCGCGCGAGCAGAGCAATCTTCGGGTCCGAGCTCCACGCGAGGAGTGTCGGGACACGTTTAGCATGCGGGCTAGTCGTGTGGGCCGGTTCGAGCGATGTGCCGCGCGGCAAGCCAGACTGAGGAGCAGGGAGCGCATCCGTGGCAGGCTTGGTCGAGCGCAGGCGGCGGCGCACCTCGTTGTTCTTCTTCGCAACCTCCCCGTTCTGGCCGAGGCGCGCAATAGTCTCCGAGACGACCGTGCCGTCTTCGCCCGTCACAGTGATCTGGGGGGGAGTGGGTGTCCGAGTTGCAGGCTCGCTGACTTGTGGCGCTGATGCCTCGCGCGCCTCAAGCTCAGCCTTGTGCTCCGCAGCCTCGGCGAGCGCGCCTTCATGTCCACCCGGCAGGGAGTTGAGGTATTCGTGCAACGTGTGCTTCTCCTTCTGCAGACGGGCATGAACAGTCGCGAGCATGCCGTTGTGTGACATGTACGAGTGCATCTTCATCATGCTTGACAAGGCGTCTGTGGTCAGTCCGGGCAGGGCTCTGATAGACTCACGCAGAACGAGGAAGCCAGCCTGAACCCAGTACCAATTGCGCGCATATCCCCACACAATGGCAATGCCGAGGAAGGTGGTCTGGAACAAGTGCTGGATGATGAGACCGGTGTAGTAGTAGTTGAAGTAGCCCTTCTGAAGGCATTTGACGAACGGTACGCAGAGAAGCATGGAAGTGACCATGATCAGGTCGGCGAACGCAAGCGCAACACCATCAGCGGTGATGAGGTGGGCAAAGTTGGGAGACAAGATTGTGCGATTGAGCTCCCATGACTCGATGCACGTGCGCAGGAAGAGGAGGGCAAGGCCTGATGGGTGAAGGTGCGTGGTGAGAGCGAGGCATGGAAGGATGAGAAGGACGCGGAGGGTGATGGATGTGAGAGGGTGAGGGGGGCGTCAAGAAGGAGGGCGTAGGGGGGGACGACGCGTCGGCAGCGCGTAAGCATTGGCGCGGGTCAGCTATGGCTACGCCGCATGCCGCTGAGGAGAACTCACCGATCCAGAAGAGGGTGAAGAAGCCGCGAAACTCGTCGGATTGTGATTTTGTGTTTTCGCGGTTGAAAGATGAGAAGCGGGGCGTGAACTGAAGCAAGGCCTTGATCTCTTTGCCTGCGGAGACGTATGGACGGACGACGACGGTCCCGGTCGGCGTCGCGAAGACGGCGTCCTCGCAGGGAGCGATGGGCCTTCCGCTGACCATATCAGGCGAGGAAGGGTGAGGCGGCTGTTGCTTGGGTGCGTAGTGTTTATTCAACTCTTCCTTGAGCTGAGCGTCGAGGTTGAGGTTGAAGTCTGGATCGTCGAGGTCGAGCTTGCCTGGCTTTGACAGAGGGTGGGGTTGTGGCTGAGCAAGATGGGGATGTGGGGGAAGCGAGTGTGGGGAAGAGGTGTCCGCGTCGAGAGGCGTTTGCTTCCGGTGTAAAGAACGTCGAGATGAGCGAGATGATCGTGAAGATGAAGAGGGTGGCGATGAGAAGGTGGAGGAGGCAGAGGGATTATCAAGTTGAGGATGCGCTGTTGACGTAGCTTGCGAGGTGGTGTGCGTCGCCCCGGGGCCGAGCTCGGATGCGCGGACTTGTCTGGATGCACTGGGTGTCAGTGCTCGGGTATGCTCGGGCTGTGCTTCGCTCTGCTCGCTCATGGTCCGGAAGAGGTCCGTGACGGCCGGCGGCCGGTGTGAGGTGGAGCGGGGTACTCACCGAGTGGCAACCATGTCGGCGGAGGAGTGTTGGGTGGCGAGTAGAAGGTTGTGAAGTAGGGTTGACTGACGACTGACGTTTGTTATGAACATGTCTACTTGCTTGGCAATCGCGGCATTCTCCCCTTCCCCTTTCCACCAGGTACTGCAGGTACACACTCATCCTTGGGCGCTGATACGTTACGGCCCTCATTTGATGGGGGGCTTGGAGTGGCACCGGAGACATGCGCCGGGCTGAGCCGAGTGTGTGCGTCACCGTTGGCCACAGTCATGCGCTTGGGAGGCCGCACCGCTTTGTCCTTGCTCTCCAAACTTCATCATACGATCATAAGGCCGAGGTGGAGAGCAAGGTCGGGCGCCGAGACGCCGGACCAGCTCTGGCGGCCCAGTGCTGCGGAAGCTGGTCACCTGCACAGAGTCAGGGCAACTTCGGTGCTCACATGTCCATTGCCTCATTTGCTTCCGTCTCCGCTCTTGGCTCGAATTGACGCAACCTCCACCTCCACACGAGCCCACTCCGACCGCCGCTTGTCCCTGCATCTTTGCACTCTGCGTCATCGCCGCGCTCTCAACTTCTTTGTGTCCTCCAGCCTCCGCCTACAGCCGCGCCAACGCCGCTGCCTCGCTGAGCCACTCGCCGGATACCTTCGACCTCTATTCTCCCCCATCCCCCTGCATTGCCATGCCACGAAACTATCTCCTCTCACGTACACTCGACCCGCTCCTCGGCGTCTTCACCGGCTTCCTCGCCTACTACTTGCACGAGACGAATCCGCGCACGGCCGCGCCGCCAGGGCACACGCTCAAGGATCTCGTGAGCTGGCAGATCGCCGAGAACAAGCGGCGAGGGGAGGCTGCGACGGCAGCAAGCGCTGCGGCGGACAGCGCCGAGCTCGAGGCGGTGCGGCGTGAGCTGGACAACGCCGACTCGGTCGACAAGGTGGTGCAGGCGGTCAAGAGCGGGCCAGATGCCGCTGCTGCTGTCGCGCGCACAACGCTGAAAGAGGAGAGCAAGATGGCCGACAAGGCTGTGTAAGGTGGGTTTGAGGCTGTCACGTGAGAGCCGGTCGTGTGAGACACGGAAACAGCGCTGACCGCTCCAGACCGACATTGCATGTATATAATATTCATATTGGAGTCGAGGATATTGGCGGATTGATTGATGCCGAGCCGTATGGCGCGCGCGGGGAGGACTCGGCGTCGACAGAGCTGACTGGATTGGACTGATCATGCGGAGGAGCAGGCTGGCTGTCTCTCGGCTTCAACCGAGACTGAACTCCTGACAGCAGCCAGTCGAGAAGCTTTTACGGTGGAGCAGTACATACGATGGCAGTATGTACTGCGGGCGAAGGACACAGGGACTCCCAGATACCAATGCTCGTCAATACCCCTCCATGATGTGCGCCGCGCGATCGGCCTTTCCCCGCCAGCTGATCGGTGCTCTGACGGGCGGAGCGTCCCAGTGAGCCATGGGCGATCAGGCGAGAAAGCGCTCACAACTTCCAATGGACTACGTCGTTGCACTGTCCGTCAGCGGTTGACTTGCCGGAGGCTGAGGAGCGACGGCGCCGTTTGCGTTCGGATCGACCTGGGCTGCCGTCTGGTGGAGGACTGACCCCCGGGGCGACCACTGAGCGTGGCGAGTCAACCCTCGCGATCAATATCCGGGACACAGCCGCACCATCCAAGTCTTCCGGGGTGGTAGGAGCCAAGTGTGTTTTCTGAGTACCAGCCTCTGACTCCGATTCGCGTGAATCAGTCTGAGAGAGAAGGTTTCACCACGGACAGCACCCCGACCAGCTGGCGTAGGTTCTCGCTGGCAGGGAGACCTCCGTGCCGCTCTGCGCTCGTCAGTACGCCTGCCCAGAACATGCAGAACAACTAGGATAAGGCACATCAGTCGACTGACGGGTCAGGCCAAGATACTCGCCCTGCCGACCAGCTCATATCGACGCCAACCTCTTGTAGATGAGTGCAAGTCCACCCCTTCAGCTGATGCGGGTTTTGTGACACTGACCTCACACCCGGCTTACCGCGGCTCCACCTGGGCAATATCTGTAACAGCGGGCGATGCCTTTGCGGTGATTCAACTTGTGATCCGCGAAGTGCTGCTTGACATACATGGCATTTGCGTTGGAAGTGTAAAGCGTATTGTTGAATTCTGTTCGGAGTCTAGCCATCATTCATCCTAATCCGGAATCGGACTTCGGGGGACCAACTCTTGACGAGCGCAAGTAGAGTCAGGCTCGCGCATCTAAGAGCTCGTGAGATGATGTGTTCCAGACCGGAGCTCGACCCTCTGCATTTCCCCAATTCTCCACATTTTCCATATTCTGGAATTCTGGAACACGCAACCTTCCCCACCTGGCCACCTAGTCTTGCCAACGAGGCACGCACTTTGCGTACCCTTGTCGATCTTGTCGCTGCCTCCGCATATGTATCTCCAAAACGCGAAGCACCTCAATTAACTAGGCACGCTCAAACTCAGAGCGGCTGTCACCCCACCCCGCCCAGCCGATCCGCCGATCGCCGAGCGTCGCGCAATGCTCTGCTCTCGACTCCTCCATCCACCACCCCCCCGCGACCCACCCCTTGAAACAAACAGGCGGAGTCTGCGCCAAAACCTTGTCGCGTTGCGGAACTGCGGATCTGCCTGCGATTTTGTCCCGCGCCTGCACGCAGCACGCAGCACGCAGCAGCCCCGTCTGTTCGAGGTTCCAGCACTCACGGCCCCTTGTGTTCGAGCGGGGGAGGAATGTCTGCGCATCCCTGAGGAGAGCAGACACGTGGGTGAGCGTGTGAGTGTGGACTGCGGGCCTGCGGGTGCCGTTTGCCGGTGCGGGATGCAACGTGCGTACTCCTCGGATCCTCGGGCCTCGGGCTCGGGGCTGCTCGCCGAGGACAGAGCTCGGCGTGGGGACGGGAGATGTGGCTGATGGCTGAGCTCTGGCTGGGGCCTGAAAACAGATTAAACAGAGTTGGTTGGCAACGAGCAACGCGAGTGGGCAGGTACGCGCGCGCGCGCGCGTGTGCAGCAGGAAGAGCTCAACAGTAGAGGCCACGCGTCTATATCGAGGCCGCGAAGCGCCACGAAAGAAGGATGTGCAGCGCCGCATCGCGCATCGTGCAGATCGTGTCCGTGGATCCGATTTGTGTGTATCACAAACGGATCAGGGTCAACTCGCGGCTCTCAGCCGCCGGCATCGGATGCCTTTCCTCGTTTCCCTGCACGCATGCACTCGTCCTTGCTCGCTTCCAGTTTGTCTAATTGTCTGGCTACCTGCTCCCCGATCATCACCATGGAGCCTCCCCGTGATACATGCATAACCTCGATCCGCGGTGCGCAGCCGTACCGCGTTCATCTCTGCGTCCCGGCAGCCCGCTCCCTGCCGCGCCTGCCACAGCCTGATGCTGATATGCGGGGGTGTTGCGGCTCCGCGCATGCAGCCATCGCATGCTCCGAATGCAGCGGCGCGAGCGGCCAGGAACAACCAAAATTTTATAGCAGATCAGGCCGAGGCGCGAGGGGGGCGCGAGGGCGCGAGGGAGGCGCCGAGGCCGAACTGTTCGGTGTGCGGTGCGTGAAGCGCGTGAAGCGGAGAGCGAGAAAGCATGAGCGTCCAGCGGAAGCGAAAAAGGCGTTGTGTACTGATCAACTGAAGGGACTGGTCCGTGCGGTTGCAGGTCCGCGGCGCGCCCGGTCGTCTTGATGTCAGCTTCTCTCCAGTCCAGGCCACTCGGCTCCCGTTGCAGATCACAGACAAAGCTTCCATATCTATGTATTCACAGTCGATCCCAATGCCAATCCCATCGCCGCCCGCTCAATGCCCCGCTGGCCGCTGGCGCCGGTAGGAACGATTCTACGCCGTGCGCCGTGGCGCAGTGGCGCGCACGACGCCGCTGCCGTTAAGCTCATGTAAAGGATTCTAATAGCTGCCTGCCCGGTTGCTAATCGTTTGGACCCCGAACCTAATAGAGCATTAGCCCACCGGGACGTGTCAGGTAGAGACGGGTGATGATGAGATGATGATGCACACCCCGCCCGCCGACCAGATCGACGGCGCGGACCCTGACATGGCTTGCTCCTGTGGCTCATGGCTCATGGCTCACCGTGTACCGCGTATCATAAACCTTGACCTTGACCTTGGCAAGTCAAAGCAGAGTGAGGCCAAGAAACGCGTGTAACAGAGTTCAAAGGATCAAAGGCAAATGGCTGATAGAATCAGAGTACCCTGCGCTATTCGTTTTGGCGCATGCACAACGCTGGCTTGTAGAATTGCAACAAGGACTTTAGAATGCGGTTGGAGGATGTGCCAGGTTCAGAGGTAGAGAGGGCCGATTCCCGATGGTTCCTCTGCCCTGATGCCTTGCTCCCCCGATCCTCCGTCATGCGCGCTCATGCGCCATACCTCTGACAGCAGATGAAGCCAGGGTTAGAATCAAGGGACAATTTGTGAACCATTCAATCCCCCCCTCCTCCGCCCTCTCCCTCCACCCTACACCAGCAGTCGCGTTGCCACGCACCTTCCCTCCCCCCCCC